AAACGGATGATAAAACACCAGCTGGCTGGTCTTGAACATTTTCCAAGTGTCACGTGAAATTTAGACTCCTATGAAATCCGGTCCCTTTTACCCTTTTGTTGGTTGAACGTTCACAAGCCTAAGGCATGAGTAATACTGCCAACGAGTCAATATCTCATAGCCCTAAATTCACACTTCACCGGCACAGCTGCACTCAGCGCCACATCGCGCAGTATGCACCAATCTCTATATAAGGAGTTGTTAATGACTACTCACGAGAGGCACATACCATAACATAGTAGAGGAGTGTTTAAAAAAACATGAAGTAAAGTTGGTGAACAAAAATCATTGAAAATGTACAATTTTTGACTTGTTTTGACTTTTTGACCGAAAAGGTGTCTATGAATGGGAATAAATACATGTACTTGGCCAGTTTTAAACGCTATGTTTACGACCGGTTTGGACGCTTCGGCTCTTAATCTTGTCAACTGGATGACTAAAGTGGTCTCCATCACCTGTGATGGACGAACAAGCCACGAGAACGAGAACTACAACCCTTTTTTGTCATTTGATTACATTCTAATGAATTTTAATAACAACAGACAAAGTAAAACACAAAACTGCGTGAACATGCCAGGTGCAATCAATCTAGAGGAAGCAGGTGCATTGGGAAAGAACTGGGAAGTGACAAGTGGAAGCCGTGCATTGTTAAAAGCAATGAAAGGAAATCAAAGCTGCAAATGAGTTTACTTTGTACTATGTGTTGAAAATGATCTCGGTCTTGTAAGATCAAATTTTTACATGCCCTCACACTGGATTGTGGTACTTTTTGAGAAAACATTTATGTGTGCATTATGCACTGTAGTTTCATTTACATTCATTAAAACGGGTAAAATCTTCTTTAGACTGTCGGTGACTTTGGCATGGGGTATCAGCAATAAAAGCTTGTTATACATGTTTTTTGTTATTCAATCAATGAGCCCATTGCAGCTACGCAATGTCGCGCACTGATCCGACAAATTACAGCAACCGCGCGCACGTGTGCGTCGTGCTAATGCTTGCGCGCGCTTCGCCGAATTACAAAACGAGCTACTAATTTGAATTTCCTACGGTGCTTCTTAAGAAGCACCATTGGAAAGGCCTTCTTTTGTTGATTTCTTCAAAATGACAGCTTGCCAGAAAGAATAATTTCACAGGGAGTTTAGTCCCCTTGCTATCTTTCAACCAAGTGTGTTTTTCAACAATAATTACGCCAGTTACTTTTTGGATAGCTGCAAATGATGGACTCTGGCTTTAACTGATTCAACTCTGGTTGCAAGGCACAGAATCGGTCAATCGTGCAAATCAATCCCATCATCCCACACACCTCGGCGCCACTCTCTGTGACCTCGCGCCGACGCAAGCCGCCCTGCTCCTTAGCGTGCCGACAAAAGTGCAGACAAGACATTTCAGCCGGATCCATTGTCAATTTGAGTCTGCAGCACATAGTTAGAAAACGACGAGTGTTTCTGTGGGGGAATAAAAAGGAACAGAAGCAGACTGGTGCTTAGATCTGAGCGCATTACATCAGGGCTGCCAACTCTCATGCACTGAGCGCGACAGTCACACATTTCAGGTTATTCTCACGCTCTCAAGCCCACACAGGATTTCTCATGCTAAAAAAAATAAAATATAACAATAAAAAATAAAATAATTAAGTATTTAAGAATCTTACAACTTTATAGAACAATTACTCAGGGATTTCTGGTCGCACGACGAACGATTGCATTGGCTGTCATCGCATTGGCAGCATACAGTGTGCAAATTTCCCACTGTGCTCAACACACAAAAACGATTTCTCATCGGGGAAAACCCCTCAGCACGCAATATACGCAGCAGCGGTGACGGTGTCATCGCAAAACGGAAACCCACATATTTTCCGAGCGGTTTCATATTCCTATGATATCTGGACTCCCAGATAGTGATGATTTTTTTGGCGATTTGCTCCAAAAAATAATGATTACAGTGGTCAGAAATTGCCTCAGATCGCACCACAGAGCATCTAGAATCCAATTTTTTTCGGGGTCCCGCCACGCCGTTAGGGCTTCGCGCCCTCCATCGCCAAATTCTCACTCTTACCTCTCACTCAAAGTTGGCAGCCCTGTTACATGTACATTGCAATCTGATTGCATGGGTACTATACTGCAGCAAATCAGCTGATTTTATCGCTGCATGTACAAGTGACTGACTTGTGATTTAAGGTGTGAGTGACCACCGATAAAAATAGCTGCAAACAGCTGAAAAAGGTGTAAAATAGCTGAACTTTGGAAATCTCCTATACTTTTGTACACAGCAAGTGAGGGAAAAAAGCTGAAATCCAAAAGAAACAAAGCTGATATCAGGTATAAAGCTGAAAAAGCTGAAAAAGAAATAGCTGAACTTTGGAAATCTCCTATACTTTTGTACACAGCAAGTGAGGGAAAAAAGCTGAAATCCAAAACAAAAAAAGCTGAAATCAGCTAAAAAGCCGAGATTTCACATCCCTGTATAACTGTACAACTCTCATACACCTACAAGAAAATCCATCTTTTTGTAAGAACAACTTCATAGGCAGCTTGCCGTTTGGTCCTAAAGCATTCCTTTCACATCAAGTACGCTGGAGTTTAGGAGCTATACTATTCTTCCCCTATTAAAAGAGCCTTCGACAACACTGACAGTACCGTATGTTACCAGAACGGTTGATGTAAATCTGAAGACATACATGATAATTATTTCGGTCACTCTGCAATCGGAATGGCCTACCCCATTTTCGATTTTGCTCAGCCTTATTCAAATAACAGTGTACATGTAAACTGAAAAGTCTGGCCAAATGGGGATCAACACGGCCGGTGGCATTGATGAGTCAGCTCATTACTCAAAAGCCGTGCTAATCCGAGTTTGGAACTACCGGCCTCACTGATGGTTTGGACCAATGTCAACAGCCGAGCCAAAACTGCAAAAAAAACACTTCACTGGCATTCAAGCTTGAACAAGTACTGCGGCGGTAGCCCAAAGCAATCAGCTCCGATGGTACTGCAGTCCACCGACTGCTTCCAGAAGACGTCCTGTCTCAAATTGGTTTCGCATCCCCCAATCATCCACAGACCCGGTGCATACCGTGCTATGCATACTATATAAAGTTATAATTCTAACAGATAATTACTATTTAAACAGGAATTCCCACTTGGTGTACATCTTTTGGGTTTTGAACTTCAGGTTAGACAAGAGTTTCTTAATATACAGTGTCTATATTTTCCGCAATGCGGATAGCCTATCACGTTTTAACCTGAATATTGGAACTAGAGGCCAGTCACGCAAGTCCATACATACACGGCGCGAAATTTGCAAAAGTTTGGCACAATTACTCTGGTACCGGTATGATAGATGAAATCTGGTGCACTGAACAAAAAAGCTGGGAAGCTATAAAGGGAAGCCGTGCAGTTTTAAGGTAATGAAAAGAAAAGAAAAGAAAAATTGCGGACGAATTACTATAGAGGTACATGAACATCAAGGAACCAACGCGTTGAAAAATCGCGACATTTTCGTGGGTATTTTAATCTGGACACATTTTTGTGCACCTTATACTGGATTATGGCACTTAAAAAAAAGGGTATTGTCAAATGTATAGTTTCATTCACATTAATAATAATAATCGGCATTTAAGAACGCTCTTATTAGTTAACTAAATCACAGCGCTTACGGTATTATTATTACCCCTGATCATTGGGCCAATTAAACATTCCAAATACCACCTCAGCTCCCTGGGGAGTATACAGCTGGATGCAGCCTGTTAGGTGCAAGCAAGCTTATTCAATCACAATAACCATCTCTGCCCTCACGGGTACCCATTTACTCCTGGGTGGAGAGAAGCAATGAGTGACAAAGTGCCTTGCTCAAGGGCACACGCACCATGACCCCGGCTGGACTCGAACCCACAACCTGCAGCTTTACCCACAGACCACGAATCCAGTGCCCTTAACCACAAGGCCATGTTTATTAGAATGTCGATGACTTTGGCATGGGGTACCAGCAATAAAAGTTTGTTAGACTTGGTTTTTGTTTAGTAGTTCGCAGAGCGCCCTCAATTAGTCATGCCTGCAGCCTTTAGGACATGTGGCCAGTTAAGAAACCAACTTTATCCGATTAATACACTTTACATTGATATCAAAGTAAAAGGTGATGATTTACATAAGCAAAATTTTAAAAAAATTAAGAAAACCAGACATGCCCATCAACGTACTGATACCGATATCGATGGTGCTTAGGCCAGTATCATCACCTTGGAGTTGGAAGTACTTTATTTATAATGCAGCTTGTCATAGCCATAGATACAAATGTATAGAATAAAATGACTAGATCGGCAGCGCGTTCACACGCGCCCATTCACTGTGCGATAAATCTCCGCCATTTTTTTTGTCTCTCGTGGAAGCGCAACAAATCAACATAAAGTAATGTATCTTTCCTCCAGCACGTGACCAAGCTCAACGCGCGCGAAGCTAGAAATGCACACCGAGTATTCACGCGATGTGTACACGAACGCTTACACGTTGGTTTGCCGCTTTTCATTTCGGCTATGGGATAGCCAGTTTATTTTCTGCAAAATAAACCTGTTTTAAGACAACCAAAGCTAAGTAGGCCCTAGTCATAATCATAAGCATATTCATGTTTAAGAGATACTGATTGAAATAAACAACAAGAATAGACTGGTGTTTCAACATTATGGGAACGGTGTTATCTGATCTATGCTCTTGTGTTTTTAATTAGAATTGAAGGTCTGCCATAAACTCGTATTGTGCGTGTCAACGGCGTTGCGTTCGTCACGTCTAGCGCGCAATTTGTATCTTTCCTCCAGCACGTGACCCTCCACGCAAGGCTGCGCATGTGGACGCGCTGCCGATCTAGTCTTTTTATTCTATATCTATGGTCATAGCATACACGCAGATTGCTTTTCTACTCATTTCTCTGCTCGCAAGGCACAGAATCAATCCCATCATCCCACACACCTCGGCACCATCCTCCGCAGGACCCTGATGATGCAATACATGTATGGCCGCTTTCTTAGCGTGAAAACAATAGAACAGACAGGACAACTCGGCAGGTTCCGCTGCCAGCATAAAACTGCAGCACATCGTTAGAAAACGACGAGTGCTTCTGTGGGGGGAATAAAAGGAACATTAACAGACTGGTGCTTAGATTTGAGGGCATTGCATTGCAACCTGATTGCATGGGTACCACACTGTAAAGTTGCTGATTAATATGATGACTCGTGACCGAGTTGTGATGAACTGTACAACTCTAATACACCTGCAAGAAAATCTATCTTACTGGCGCACCACTCAAATAAAAGGTCTTGTTGTCCCCTTTCATTTGATGCCACCTGCAAAAATTGTGATGCTTGTAGTTGTGACGAAGTCATAAATGTTTTCAGCCATCTCCACAAAAAACGAGGAGACTCCAATCTTTACAAGACTTTGTACAGTGATTTTCAATTTTGAATGGCACAAGTGTGAAGTGAAAAACGAGGAAATCAGCTGATCCGAGGAAAAGTTGCATGCCTGTGAATAGTTATGAATACAACGCTCTTTTGTGGTGACACCCGGTGATAGGTGTAATCGGAAATGAACTACATGTACATCTGTGTACCAATATTGATACTACATTATCATTATGCCCATTATCCTACATGAACATACCGTACATTCTCTGAACAATAACCAAAATAAAATACAAAAAAAGAACAAGTAAAACCAGATAAAAAAAAGAAAAGTTTAGCATCCCCACCACTTCTTTTTGGAGGCCGCCTCCTGTTTTTTTTGGGTTTTTTTAATGAAAAAGAAAAAAAACCGAAAAAATGAGAAATTTTAAACAGTGACATCATTTTGACCTCTTTGTCTGTTGCATCTAGCCCATATAAAGCTGGTATGTCATTTCCTGAGTCCAATGGCGGCCATTTAAAAACAAGCTGGCGGCCATCTTGAACAATAACCCGGCTGGCTGTTTTGGAAAATAGCTCGGGCTGCCATTTTGGAAAAAAAATATAAAAGAAGGGCCTCCTCCTTCTTTTTTTCAAAATGGCAGGACGCTAAACATGATTTTTTTTATATTTGGCCCAAGCAGAAAAAAAAGGAAAATCAGCACAATTACTTACAAACGTAAGCTGTTCAAGAACAGAATTCAGAAAAACGCAGAACAAACATAAATTATTGATCAACTTAAAGCATGTGCCAGCAAAAAAAGAACGAACGAAGCATGTGAAAGCCGACATACGGTATGTATGACTTGACAGTTTGCCTTGTTGTGCGAAACGGTTTGGGACAATTATACATGTTGCATAGCTGACATGTACATGTAGCTGGTAGATGTAAAAGAAGTGCATAGTTTGGCGAAGCACCAACCTGCGCAGCATTTTCTGTCCTGACGTTTCCAGCCGATTTCAAATACCAGCAGAACGCTAAGACCGATATTTCCCAGGGTTCCACGCACCAAACCACACTTGTGAGATACCTGACGAAACGTCGACTGGTTCTGTGTTCAGAAATGGACATATCAAATCCTTTATCCTCTTTGTTGAGATTAGTGGTGGGAGAAGTCGGAGATTTCAAACTCCGGTTATCCGAACCTTTTCAAACCGAATAACGGTTATCCGATTTTACAGGAAGCTCCCATTCATTCCGCTACAGTCATGTGGGAGCACGTGTGGTTTAACGGTAGAGCATGGAATTCATGACGGTGAGATTGTGGGTTCGAGCCCCGTCGTGGCCATACGTGTTGTGCCCTTGAGTAAGCCGTTTTACCTCAATTACTCCTCTCAACCCAGGTGTTAAATGGGTACCGGCATTATTCAATGCTGGGAAGGTACATGTACATAACAGACTCGCTGTGGAGGAGGTGTGGTGATCCCTCCACAGCAGCATTTCATGGACTTGAGTCTGGCCCAATCGCTTTGAACGAGATATAGTGCATGGGTTTCATACTCAAGCCATCTCTATTATCGCTAATTCAAACCAGAGTTCAGAGTACGGCATAAAATTAAAAGCAAATGCTACAAAACCAACCACTTAGAAATACCACACTGGTAGTAATGCATATCTCTTTTTAAACTCATTAACTTTTAACAACAGATTCCACTCTGGTTTTGATTTTATGAACCATAACATCCATTACAATTTTATGTAGAGAATAGTTAATCTGTTAGTTGAGGACAGAGATTGATATGAATTAGATGAAGAGTTGAAAAAAAAAAACCCAATTGAATGGGTACAATACCGGTACATGTACATGTTGGTGTTGTATGATCAGTGCTTTCCTTGAACTTGTGGTAAAAATGCAACAAGATTGCTTAGGTGGAACTCGAACCTCTGACCTAACTATTGAAGACACCTTACCACAAAAAACAGCATCTCAAGTTAGCATTTGAATAGTTGTTAAGAATGGAGTTGTGCAAGATTGTTGCCTACTTAACCGTGCTGCATCAAACAAGATCTAACAACAAGCAGTAAGCTAGTTCGGTATTTCAACTGCGCATGCGCACAATGATATGGGTCGCGGTCATTCAAATAATCGAACGCTCATCGAAGGCGCATGATCGTGCAGGGACACAGGCACACTACGCTCACGTGTTAATTACGAGCAGTAATTAACGTAACATCACGTAGCATCACGTAGCATCACGTAGCATCACGTCAGCGATTTCATCCCAAACTACCTTTGACCTGGACTTCCAAAGCGAGATACCAAACTGGCCTTTTGCTGTTTGATCTTGTTCGTGAGGCAGTAACAGGGAACTTAGGACACCGTTTTTTGTTAGATTTTGTTGGAACCAGGAGGCTTGGTGCATAGTGGATGTCTGAAAGGGTATAGGATGAAATTAATCGAACATTGGACATACGAGACAAAGATACAATCTGCCCGTCTTGTGATGTGACGTAGCTGAAACTACAATGCATCCATCTGACAACAACCAACCTGGGCGGCAATCTCTCCACGGATACCACCGGCCGACCCCATATACCAGCCAAATGACAATACCGACACTTCCCAGGGTTCCACGCACCAGATAACTTTCACCACATATCGCATATATCGCCGACTGGTTCTGCAGTCAGGAAAATAAACACAGGTGGATACCAAAAATGCTGTTGTCATCAAAAATTGCCTGCCGTCTGATCAAAACAGCAGCTCATTTCAGAGGGGATCTAAAAGATCTGAAAAGCAGCCCAGGAGGAACACAGTTGGAGGAATCCTTCGGCAATCTGCTTCATCGTTGACGGATGAAAGTGATAATGAAAGCCTCTTTCTGGAGTAATAAGTGTCAGACTTGATCCTAACAGACTTAGGTTAGGCCAGGGGATGCCTCGCCGCAATATCTTAGAGACAAACTTAGAGAATGTCACACACACACACAAACACTTGTGGATAAATATCTTCTGTAATTAGCACATTCCAAGCTCCAAAAATTCCTTTAACCCTAACCCCCTAAGACAGAGTTCACTTGGGGTCAAGTACCACATAGTACAAAGTATTACAAAAATTATGTTAGCAGGTACCAAGTGCTAGGAAATACTATAAGCTGAAGTTCTGCATACTGTACTACCAGTCGTATTTTGTAGCTTTAGGTGAGGTTAGTGTTAAAGCACAGAAGTTAAAACTCAGGTCAAAACATGGAAAGAACTACATACATAATGTGCAGTGTTCAAACTAAAGAACGCTCCGATAGATGTAATGTTATTTTAGCAGTAGCACAATGCTCAAAGCAAAGGAAGTCTGCAAAGTAAGTTGTGTGCCAGAAAGGTCGGTCCAGTGTTGAGTCCATCACAAGTCCATCACACGTCAATCACACTTCATCCAGTCCAACGTCAAGCCACAGCTGTGACAAAGGACTTCATTTGTTCTGGTTCACCCCCTGTTACTTATGACTGGACTCGCGTGAATGACTTATGATTTACATGTACTTGTGACCGGACGTGCAACTGCAAGACTTGACTACCACACCGTGCCCGAGCAGGCTACCTTGAATTACCCGACTGCCATTCTCGGTCGACGCACTGCGGGCAAGACCTCCAGTCTGTTTGATGTACAATGTACCACAGATGAAACAGCACCGAAAGTTGGGAGGGGTCCGCTTAAACAGAGACTTTGCATAAAAATTCCACGAAATGACGTGAAGTTCTACCAGTGCGTGTGTGGTGGGTCAGTACCGGTAGGTAGGCGATAGTATGAAATAAATAGAATGGATTTTATTTAAAAAAAAAAAAAAAAAAGGGGGCATGGACAAGAAAGTTCCTGGGGTGGACATTTATCAAAGTTATGCTACTGATTACTGTATCAAAAATGTCCCGGGAGTCCTTAAAAATTAAATCTAAAAACCCCAACAATCTTCTACTGCCAAATTGGTCAGCTGCAAATTGGAATCTGCAACAAAAAGAATGGTTATCGTTGTGTATGTTACCGACAATATTCATGTTTGTAGAAAAAGTCTTGCAATATAAACCATAGGGTAAACAAAAAGTGAGGAAATAGCCCTTGCTTTGCTACACTCTCCAGAACACTTCAATATTTGCAAATTTTGCTTGCAAAGTCAATGGCCTGTAAGAGAGCAAGGGTAAATAACCAAGCTAAACGTCACTAAACCCGACATGACCAAAATAAAAATCAGCCGGCACGAACCGGTTCTTTTTTTAAGTTGGGCAGGGAGTGTCATGGCTGAGCGGTTAAGAGCACCGGACGCAAGCTCTGGTGTTTCTGATCAGCAGAGTGTGGGTTCGAGTCCCGGTCTCGACACTTGTGTCCTTAAGCAAGACACTTGACCATCATTGCTGCGTCCTTCGGATGGGATGTAAAGCCGTAGGTTCCGTGCATTGTGTAATGCATGTAAAGGAACCCCGTCACATTCAGGCTTAGAGAAGGGGTTTGCCCCGGTGTTTCTGGCAGTGGCTTATTAATGCACCGCAGCACCTTGTTAACCCTTATAAGGTGCTACATAAAATGGGTCTCATATTTCAAATACTTCAGTTACCTGTCTTTGAAATATATTCATATTAATTAGCACCCTGAGTGCCTAATTGTTGTCTGATACGTGCGCTGTATAAGACTCCGGTATTATTATAATTAACATAAGCACATGGGGATCAGGATGACCATTTAAGCTGATTTTCGGCTAACTTTGACAGTTTTTTTGTTAAAAAGAAAAATTGACAGAATGGATTTTCTTGGCAGATTTCTGGCAGAATTCTGCAAAAAATGGTTATTTGACAGAAAAACTTAGCAAATTTGAATTTTTTTTTATAAATTTGTTAGAAAAAGTTTCAACCTTTTTAAACAAACCCTTGTAAAATGGGTCAGGTTGGCTGGTCTAGGTGCCGAGTTTCACTGGGAACCAGACTTCGTCGTGACGCAACCGTCACGCAACCGCGATTTGCCCGACATAATTTCATAACATCTTTATGTGACTATGGATTGTTTATAACGTAATTTGAACCTTGATTAAGGCAATACTACAAATCTGCATGTGATTTTAAGTGTTTATAGTGTCTTTCGAGCGATTCTGGGGAATTTGGCAGATTTTTGATAAATCTGACAGATTTTTGAAGTGCATTCAGGCTAAATCGACCTGTGGCGTTTTGAGATGGTTTTTGTGCGTGATTTATATGCATTGTACATGCTGAATCGACCTGTGGCGTTTGAGGTGGTTTTTGTGCGTCATGTATGTACAGGCTAAATCGACCTGTGGCGTTTGAAATGTTTTTTTTTGTGCGTGAAATATGCATACAGGCTAAATCGACCTGTGGCGTTTTGATGTGGTTTTTGCGCGTGATTTATATGCGTGTAGGCCTACAGGCTAAATCGACCTGTGGCGTTTGGGATGGTCTTTGTGTGTGATTTATAGGCATGTACATGTACGGGCTAAATCGATCTGTGGTGTTTGAGGTGGTTTGTGTGCATCACGTATGTTATGTTACCGTATTATGCTGAATCGACCTGTGGCGTTAGAGGTGGTTTTTGCACGTCATTTTGTATGCATGTGCAGGCTAAATCGACCTGTGGCGTTAGAGATGGTTTTTGTGCGTGAAATATAAATTTACAGGCTAAATCGACCTGTGGTGTTTGAGGTGGTCGATTTATTAGCCTGTGCATGCATATAAATCACCCCGTTGGGGATTTATGACAGGGGCCTTCACTGGGCAGAGTAGCCAAACATTTTGTGACAGGTTATGTGCAAAAGAAATTATGCAAATTAATGTGCACCCTGCTTGCATTTGGGTAACTCATCACAAGTAGTTGGCAAAAAACTGGCAGGAAAAAAAAAACCTTTCAAAACTGTGTATTATGTTGGCAGGGTCCTAATTAGAGCACCAATAAGTAGCACACCAGCATTTCTGACGTTACCATTCAAACCTCACCCTCGTTAATTTCTTTCAAACCTCGACTTTAGTAGCAGTGTTCCCAGATTCCATTCCATGGTCATTTTGATTTAACAAAAAATATATGGTGAGTGGTAGTAACGAAACCCTACCATCACTACCATGACTACTCGGGATAAATCAAATTATATCTTATACCTTGACACTTAAGATTTCTAGAACCAATCCATCACCAGTTGAAATGAAGAAGAATACGTTACATCATTACATGCACACACGAACAGACTACAGGTATAATGGATTATCCTTAATAATGGCTACAGAAAGCAGTACAGGTCACAAGGCACTATATATACAGAACAAGAAAAAAAAACGGTCTGGTACCTGACCCCCATTCTCTCGGCCAAAGTTCCGCCAGAACCTTCCCGCCTGCTGGACATACCAGCAGAGAAACAAGACCGAGATCTCCTGGGGGCAACTGCAGACTGTCAGTCGACAGAAGACGTCCATGAAGCGACGGACTACTCTAAATGATACAATGATTGAATCGCATATGAGTCGGGGCGCTAGGCGAAAAGCACTGCCATCTTGGTCCTGTTCCCCGACTCAAAGCAGTGATGCCAGTGGTACTACAGTGATGGCACCCGACCATGCTCCCTCTCTTTACGAGCAATGTGGAGAACATGAATGCTTTCTTCAAAGACAAGTGTATACATGTACGTTGCTTGTAATGCTGTCAAACTACATGTATTTCAAGCACTACAAATTTTGCAGTTAATTTAAAAAAAATAAAATAATGATCAACAGTCCTTCTGGTTTGAAAATCACAGGCGTGTGGAAAACAGGCACACATGGATTTTTCTAGGCGTGTGGTTTTCTAGGTGTGTGATTTTCTAGGTGTGTGATTCTGTGGTCCAGGGCGATTCAGGCGTGCAATTATTCACACTTCTTGAGAAGCTTTTAGGCGGGCGATGGTGTGCGGGTGCAATCGCACGCCTCATCAGGACTGGTTCAGAAGGACTGGATCAATCCAAAAAAACCAAAAACAAAAAAAAAACAGGGAAAAAGCACACTACCGGTAACTGTAGAAGCAAAAACCTAAAACTCAAACAAATCATTACCCTGAAACTTTTAGTCCATACTTTTCAATCGAAATCTCAACAAACGTGTAAAATTTACAGCCTTTGATGCGTAATTACATCTGAAGCTGTTATAAATTTGAAATGTTCTGATATTTCTAGTAATTTCTTGCAAATATGTCTGTTTTTTTTTCCCCCAGTCTTCAGAAAACAACAATTAAAAACTTGTTGATTAGACTGTGCATTGCTTGGCTGTGCACAGTGAATGGGCCTTTCACAGCTCACGTAGATAGACTAAACGAACCCTCTGCAGGCCCAGCGAGAGATAAAAACCTGTTGATCCCACATACATACATGTTGGGGCTGTTCAGAATATACCAAATATTCAATCATCAACCAGATATTCAAATAGACTTTTTGCCGCTTTGAATATTCAAAACAATAAACTAAGCATGCACACACACACACTTTTAACCTAAAGCTGCAGTTCCTGAAATGTCAGTTATATTTGTCGACAGCTTCAGACAACATGAACATGTCAGGTTGGGAGTGAGGCTGGCGTTGCGCCTTCCACCGCTGTGACCCGGGTTCGAATCCTGCCTCGGCCAATGTGTGGATTGGGTTTTCAGTTCCAACCTGATTCCGTGGGTTTCCCCAGAATATTCTTCTGGGGTTTTCCTCCCACCTCTAAAACTGTAGTTTCTTCACATCGTCTTCTCTCTACAGGTTTCTCCAGGCTTGTGAGCTTACAGTGCCTAGGCACTTTTGAGGATTCCTTGGTTTCATAACCAGAAATAAAATAATAATAATATGTATCAATGGTATAGTTCAGATTAAGCGGTTCTGGACAGTTGTCCAACTCCCAAAATGGTGCGCTGTTGCAGGGTTGCTGGAAGCATTTGGAATGGCATGAACGGACTTACTCTGTCCAGCATGTCTTGTCGATCCACTCCTTCATCGTCATGCTGTCTAACTCCTCAGCGTTGGGTGCGTCCCAGGGTGCATCCACTGGTATCTGTTGAGGAAGTGAAGATATATGAATCCACATCTCCATCCACAACCACATCTGCATCCACTTCCCCATCCACAACCCATCTGCATCCACTTCCCCATCCACAGCCCATCTGCATCCACTTCCCCATCCCCAACCCATCTGCATCCACTTCCCCATCCACAACCCATCTGCATCCACTTCCCCATCCACAACCCCATCTGCATCCACTTCCCCATCCACAACCCATCTGCATCCACTTCCCCATCAACAACCCATCTGCATCCACATCCCCATCCACAACCCCATCTGCATCCACTTCCCCATTTACAACCCATCTGCATCCACATCCCCATCCACAATCCATCTGCATCCACGTCCCAATCCCAGTCTCCATGCACAACCCCATCCCATCCCATCTCCATCCACAACCACATCCAAAACCCATCTGCATCCGCATCCACATCCCAATCCACAACCAATCTGCATCCACTTCCCCATCCACAACCCATCTGCATCCACTTCCCTTTCCAAATCCCATCTGCATCCACATCCCCATCCACAACCCCATCTGCATCCACATCCCAATCCACAACCCCATCTGCATCCACAAACCCTTCCAAATCCCATCTGCATCCACCTCTCCATCCCGATCCACAACCCCATCTGCAACCACAAACCCTTCCAAATCCCATCTGCATCCACATCCCCATCCACAATCCATCTGCATCCACGTCCCAATCCCAGTCTCCATGCACAACCCCATCCCATCCCATCTCCATCCACAACCACATCCAAAACCCATCTGCATCCGCATCCACATCCCAATCCACAACCAATCTGCATCCACTTCCCCATCCACAACCCATCTGCATCCACTTCCCTTTCCAAATCCCATCTGCATCCACATCCCCATCCACAACCCCATCTGCATCCACATCCCAATCCACAACCCCATCTGCATCCACAAACCTTTCCAAATCCCATCTGCATCCACCTCTCCATCCCGATCCACAACCCCATCTGCAACCACAAACCCTTCCAAATCCCATCTGCATCCACATCCCCATCCACAACCCCATCTGCATCCACATCCCCATCCCACCTGCATCCACAACCCCTTCCAAACCCCATCCCAATCTCCATCAATAACCAATCTGCATCCACCTCCCCCATCCACTACCTAATCCCCATCCACAACCCCATCTGCATCCACAACCTCTTCCACAACCCCATCCCCATCCACAACCACATCCAAAACCCATCTGCATCAACAATCTACATTCACTCCATCCTCATCCAGATCCCCCATCCACATCACCCCGATATGCATGCACATTTTATCTGCAACCTCAACTGCATCCACAACCACAACTTCATCTTATCCACATCCCTATCAACAACCCCACCTGCAGCATGCTCATCCTTTCCCACCAGCATCCACATCCATTTCCATATCCACAAGCTTACCTGGATGTATCCGCACTCAAACCCCCATCCACACCCCATCTGAATCCACACATCCTTATCAACAACCCCGTCTCCATCCACAAACTCAATCTGCATCCCCCTCCTCATCGAAAACCTGTAATGCTCCCAATTAATCCACAGGCTGACGTGTTCTACCATCAGCATCCTCAACATCACCAAAATCCACATCCACACCCAATCATACTCCACACTCCACAGCCCAAATCCACTAACTTACCATGTCTCCCAGTCTGTCAATCTCCCTGATGGCGTTATTCAGGTCAATGTTGACCAAAGGATTCCAGAACCTGGGCCAAGTTCCTGTGAAGGGGTAACATTTTTGCTTTTGTGGAGAAAGAAAACAGAAAAAAAATAAATCAATTAGGTTTTTGCCCTTCACCTACGTTTAAACACTGTATACTCCTCCCGAGTGAAAGTTAAACAAAATAAAGTTTGCGGATAAAATAAAGTTTGCGGATATCAGCATCCTGGGACATTTTTTTAGTGGCACTAAGAAAATTGACAGAAGCAGGTGTACATGTACAAATGTAGCTCTCTTGAAGCAATAAACCATCTTCATTTGTTCCCATTCAAATCAACGTAACCAAAGGGAGGCTGGAAGGAAAAAATAGTCTGGTTCCTTTTTGCACAAAAAACATAATCATTCAGTACTGTTACTGGATACAGGGAACATGACTGAAATGGTGGCAGCATGACAAAAGTCTACCGGTATCACATCCAGAGTATGACTGAATGCACTACAAGCTCTACACGATGGTGGCCTCTCAATCTGCTTTGAATATTCAATGAATGGGTACATTGTACGTTGACTTCAATCATGCTGCCTGTACAACCTTCTGATACAAGTATGGTCTCAAATTAATTAAGCATTTTCCTCTTAACTTTTTTTACCACTGTTCTGCAAAAAATGAAATCATGCACATGTGTACGTGTTCTACATAGCCCCAAGGACCGACACACAAAGGGAGAAGAACAGATCCTTTGAGTCCTCGAGATTTGGGTCTTTTGTTGGAAACGGTCCACTCTACTAAGTTTGTGTGCTTAGTCTATATGGGAGAGTGTTTTATTACAGGGACAAAGGAAAACACAAAGCATTGTCCTCGAGAGTATAGTAAAACAGGAGTGTGTGCACACTCACTGTATATAGTCCTGAATATTAAAAACAACAATAACAAAATGTAGGTTCCAATCTTAATCTCAAATGGTGGTTATATCAGCCTCATTATTGCCCAATAATTTCAAATTCATGAAACATGTACCCGGTAAAAGAAAATAGATGCCAGAGTTAAATACTGTTACATACAGTACACACATTGACATTTGTATCCTTGTGAAGACATTTATTTGTTCTCGTGTAGTAAACTTTTCGAGTTTGAAAGTGTAGTTTCAAAATGCTCTTATTTTAACCAGAATTAATGTCCTTGGCTGAAAATCAGACTTAATCTCCCTGTTCTTAAACTCTTCCATTTGCGCCGAATCAACCCACCTAGGAAATTCCTAGTTTTTTTAGTAAAATCTATATATCTATTTCGTGAAAACCTTGTGGAGAGGTATTCATCTATAGAAATTGCCCTGTGGAGATGTATACAATCTTTTGTTCCCTATTGTGTGCATGTCTCCAGAGGGCACGGTGTATCAGATCATTATACCTGGATGCATTGTGCCATACATGTACCGGTACATGATACCACTGTACCCTACTGCACATTATATTGCCTTATCTGTCTGCTTGCTGCACTAAATTAACAACCAAAGTTCGCCTCATGTGACCTTTATTCATGGTTCACACATAGGTTATTAGGATTAGGTAGCACTCCCTGGGTTGGGTCTAAAGTTGAAAGCGCGAGGTCATAGGTGGCTGGTTTCAAATGGCTTCTGTATACACACATATAAGGACGTGTACAGCGAGAAAGAAAAGTTTTCAGGGCAAGTTTTTTATACATGTACATGTACACACAGCACAATATGTACATGTACTAAACATTGTAAATGGGATCAAAAGGTGCAAGCCATAAACTGACGGGATTTGAGAATTGCAAAATCATGAAGTATATTTTCTCCCCAAAAGGAAGGAGGATGAGTTAGTTCCATTCAATTCAATTCAATTCAATTCTTAATTATCCTTTTCAAGAAACAATGGAATATTGAAATGTCAGTCAAAATTCACTTCCACTTCCCCTGCTATACTTTTAACAAAGGCTAGTCACCAGCAGTCAGATCATAATGTCAAGCAAGCACTGTGACCAGTCAAACTGGTTCAACAGACAAAGCAGGCAAGTTGTGGTCACAGCTGTTTTACCACTCACCCGGAGTCAAAGCATAGCTGTATCAAGTCCCAGAAAGTCAATCCTGCTTTATGTAGGCTGGGAATTCTTAACTGTTGAAAACAGTCATTTATTTGATTTAGACTCAAAGAACTACTTGGCACAGAATTATGTCTGCATAGGAGGGTTAAAAAAAAAGGCATTATAAGGGTGTGTCTACTTACGTTGTCTACCCAGACCAGTCGTTCAACTTCTTGGATCTTGTAGTTTTCCACTCCGAGTTCTTTGGCCATTCTTAAGAGGCGGTTTTGGGTGGGGCCCACGTAGGATCCGCCCAAGTCCACATACCCAACAGTGGAATCCTAAGTGGGAAAAAAATAAGAAATTAAAATTACATGTATGCTCTTTTCATTCAAACAAATTGGAATATCATGCAAAAGTTTTTAAGCTCAAGCAACAGAGCAACTACAACTCACCCATAAAACTGTGAGTACCAAAAGCGAACCAAATACATTTAATGGTTGACACTAATTGTTTGTAACAATTCGTGACATTGTTTGTAATAATTTGTATCATTGTTTATGATTTTCTTTCAATTATAATGTGTGTTAATGTAATGGTCACGTGATATACACGCCCCATAAACTTGAGGGGCTGGGGGCTTCTCGGTTGGTTTCGTAACAGACCTAGGAAAGCACCTGTGCACTATGAATCACTATTATTAGATGGAATTTTTGCGTTGGGGTGATATAAATCAAATGAGGTTTTGCCCTTCACCGAGTCCCACCGGAGTGATTTTTCCAACTTTAACTCGGGAGGTACACACTGAGTATGCAGTGTGTTTATGTAAGCATATTCCCAATATACACTGAGTATACAGGGTTTAAGCGGCGGTGGAGGGCAAAACCTCATTTGATTTACATCACCCCAACGCAAAAATTCCATCTAATAATAGTTTATGCTATGCACATCAGATTCGAACCAGCCAACCGATCCCGTTAGCTCGGTGGTCGAGTGCTAAGACATCTGCACTAGAATGCAGGAGGTCGTGGGTTCGAGTCCCACCCGAGTGATTTTTCCAACTTTAACTCGGGAGGTAACACACTGAGTAGGCCTATACAGTCTGTTTATGAAAGCATACTCCCAATATACACTGAGTATACAGTGTTTAAACGTCGGTGAAGGGCAAAAACCTCATTTGACTATGAATCACCTCGGATCTGTACAAATGAAGTTTGTTATATTTGAATCTAGTTTACACTTTCCACTTGTTTGTGAAACTATTAAAATATCACAATTATCTATTTGACCCAAAGCAGCCTCCCCGACTTAACCCCAAAACTACTACAAGACAATTTCATGGTTCATAGCAAGTAGCAATTGGCTTCAGCAGCATTGCTGATCTGATAAAAAATGCATCTGGGGATTATTGGTTTGACCCACAAAAACAGACTTCAGCCTAGGGCGACTAAACCTGGCTTCTTGAACCGAACACCCTGATCACTTGACAGACCCTGCAAAGGGTTAATCCCTACTAGCGATCACCATAATACGTGTATGTACATTGTATGTACAGCCGAGCAGGATTCAGGCTTTCATAATCAGGGACATGTACAAGTACATGTACATTGACTTCACAGTCTACGATTTCTGTGCATTACTCAGTAATATAGCGAATGCAAACACGCTGTTTAAGCAGAATACACAACGGCGCTTGTTTCACGCCCACTGCCATTGTGCCACTTGTCAGGGTCAGAAATTTTTAATCTAATCACTAAGCTCCTGCACCCGAGTTCACTCAAAGAAATAATTTAGTTTAAATATTAATTATTTAACCCTAACTCTAACTCCTAGCATGATTTACTAGGAACCATACCCACCCTGGCAAATTCCAACACCATATGGGAAACTGCACACACATATTTCTGACTTAAATTCTGGAGGTGTGCCAACCCAGTGTAAAAGACTGTCAGTTTAGGGGTACTGTACCCATCCCGACAGATTCCAACAAAACATGCTGTTGGGGTTCAATGGGTTGAGTTCTGTTAGGGTTAAGGGACTAATCTGCATTATGCAAAGCAAAAAAACCAACTACATAAATTGGGTAACCTGCACGTTAATTTTATGTAAATCTGCTTTGTCTTGTGTAATCTTGCTTTTTGAAACTGAATAACTAATCAATTGTAACTTAGTCAATATAGCAAGACCGTCACCGCAAGCTGAATGCAATTTCAATACATGACCCTGTTGGACTGCCTATTTGCTAGCAGACAGCAATACAAGGCCATTGCCTATTTCCGTCAGCTGTCTGTAGCCCTTAGCCACGGCAATACGGCCATTTCTGATATTGATTTTCATTCCCAGCCCATTTCCCCTCATCTGATTTTCCCAGGGGCTCCGTGTCAAAAGGCCAGTGAACAGGCCGACCTCGCTGGAGCTCACAGGTTCAATCTGGGAAGATTATCAGAAAGGCAAATAAGGCACAACCACACAATTCAAGGTTACTTTGGAATGTACAACAATGCTTTAGCCTTGAGTTATGTAGAAATTCAAAGGCCACTCATTTAATATTCATCTTAGTCTAAAGGCAAACTGCAAGTTATTCTAAAAAATGAGTTGCGGACAAAAACCTGTCCTTTGTTGTTCTCCAAACTTGTGGCTCAACTTGTAATTTTTGCCCATGAATGGATTTGTGATGGATTTCATGTTTAAAGGGAATACACAACATTTTCGAAAAATAAAACTACCAAGTTTTTACGAAATACTTTACTGAAATGTTGGTAAGTGACAGTATTAAGCATCCTGTAAAATTATGGCACCTGGTGTGAAGTCATTTTCAAGAAAATAATATTTTTGTATGATACATTTCCAACAGTGGTCACCGTTGGAAAAAAAGAACTATTTTGATCCAAATTTACAACTGATCCAAATTTACCATTTTTTTTCAGTCCACATTTTGTTCGCTATTGGTTACATGTTCACGAACGGGTGCAGGCAGGCTAGACTGGTTCCCTTGCCTTACAATTTTCCGGCATCTTTATATATTGATCTATTCCATCTTTAGTGGAGTCAGAGAACCAGACTGCTTGAACATTTCGTCGGAGTTTTCACGAAGAGACAATTTTGGCAAAAATCAATATATTTTCGAAATTCTTTTTTTGGGCCGAAATCGATTAAGTGTATTGCAACGGACACCTTGGCGAATTTATTTTGTCAAAATCAGATGAAATCATTGAGATCATGAGAATCAATAAAGGGAAAATTTCATCCAAGTCGTTTTTTCAGTTTTCACGAAGAGACAATTGTAGCAAAAATGCACGTGTGCGATTTTGAGTTTTCACGAACAGACAATTTTCGAGCGCGCGCAAGCAAAACGACGCGTGCGGGCAAAACGAAGCGCGTGTGGGATTTCGAGTTTTCAAGAAGAGACAATTGGATCATTGCCAATTTTCCCAGCAAAACCAATCGCCTGTGGAATTTTGAGTTTTCACGAAGAGACAATTAACTATGAACGTTAATTGCTCTGCAATTAATTGGTCTATTGACTCGCAATTGATACAATGTGTAAGTGTGAGATTTCAGCTTACTATCGGTATAAAAAAATAATCAACATGTTCTCTAAAAGTAGGCGAAATCTTCAGCTTAAAAAAGGTTCAACTTTTAAGTTGATTTTCTCAAAACTATGTTTCAATGCCCTGTGGCCACAATTCTCTCTTCGTGAAAACTCTAACGATTTTTGTTTTTCTTAGTTTTTCCAACATTTTCGAACACAAAACTTCAGGTTGATAGCTCCATTATGACACCCCAATGGATTGTAAGTAATTCCTGATCAATCCATGCTGGTTAATTGTGCACGCCATAATAACATGTAGCTATTTACAGCAAGCTTTGTATTTTTATTGCAGCATAAAATATATTGTACATATATGTGGCATACACATCAACACATAGTACAAAGTCTGGGCTTTTTTTTTTACATAAACAGTGTCTATCGTGAGTACCTAACAGCTGTTTCTTTATTAACATTGATCACTATTTTATAAACAGTCAGAAGAAGTGTGATTGTAACATGGTGTTTTATAGCTCCATGGTCATAACATGCTGTACAGCATACAACTTTTCTTCTAAAAAAAAATGTAAAAAAGGGACTGTGCATATAACATCAACATACAATACAGACTGGGACCTTGAGTGCTGAAAAAAACATGCAAAACGAAAACACGCCCACTTGGGGTCAACATGCAAATTGAGGTCAAAGTAATACGACTCCGCCCAGCTAGCAGGTGCCATGCGAAGCCATCCACATGGGCTTTGAACGAGGCTATTTCAGGGGCCACAGGACGGACGGACATGACGGAAGGGTTTCTTACCACTTGGGTGAAAGTGCGCCCTCCCAGTCGGTCTCGCGCCTCCACCACCAGCACATCTAACCCTTGCTCCTGCAGCAGTTTTGCTGCAGACATTCCTAAAAAAAAACAATACGCATTTAAATATGTCGTTAATTTATAAAACAATTTTACATTTGTTCTGATGTGGGCAGCTGATCAGTGACAGAGTGGCCAATAGGACTTAGCGTAAAAAAACCAAACTTTTCTTTCATTTTGTAAAATTTGTGTCAAATTTGGAGTGGCCTTTGGCTTCTCACCTTTGTTTACAAAAACGTAGCGGCTATCGTTACGGCAGCCTTAACATGATTTTAACCCGCTATCTTTACGATATTGCAAAATCACCATGCGAATCTATATCACATTTATAACGACCCGTCCAACAAGAATGCTTCGTTAGCTCGATTGGGTTTAATACATGTTCGACTACTGTTTATTGGTTTGAAACCACACTGCTCTGCTTCTAATTTTTTTCATTTTGTATAAAAATAGTTTTCTTTACTTCAGTTTCATGTTTTTAATTGAATCTATCTTTTTATTTTTTGATACGCAAACGTGTGCAAACAAATCTGGAAATTTCACGAAAAACAGACATCTGGAAAAGGCAGCACTTTCTGATTAGCCTATAAAAATATGGAGGGTGAGTATGCTTCTAAAGCAAAAAAAAATAGATACAAACTAAGCCTAAATGTAGCTGGAGTTACCCAGCCCTGAGTTTTATCATTGGGTTGTCTATTAGTATACAACCCAATGATAAAACTCAGGGCTGGGTAACTCCAGCTAGCCTAAATGTGAAAATCAAAATTTGACAAAATTTGACATGTTTTTGTACATGGTGGAAGCGTGGCCTTTATTTACGGAGGTAGTCCAGTAAATTGGCCACATTTATGAGGCTAAGAGAAACCCTACACAGTAGGCCTACATTGTTGCTTACTCATTGAAATTTTAAAAGAAATATGAATATTGTTGAATGAACTCTAAAATGACTAACAATGAACATCTGTTCCTTGCTCTATGCAATTCAATAAAAACAAATCATGCCAACCCGGGTGTATAAGCTTGATATTGATAAGCTGTGTATTGTAGACTTCGTGCACAGTCCAAAAACAAATGCGTGTGGCGTAGTGTGCATATGGTGGAGTGCAATACACGGCCATACAACAAGGCAAGAAATAGGACTTCGTCTTAGTTCCACAAAACAGTACCGTTCTTCACTTACCCGAGATCCCGCCCCCGATAATAATCACATCTTTCTTGCTGCTCGTCATGATGAAAAAAGTCTCCTCTTTCCTTCACAGCCGTCTCCTAAAACTGTCGATTCTTCCTCGGCGAGGAATTCTTGCGGAACAAACTTTTCCCACACTGGGACAAACGACCGACCGAACTCCGCCTCGAAATTAAATGTCCACAATAATCCGTACCCGTACACCTGCCTGGTTCCCAATCGCACTCACGCTCAAATGAACACAATTTACAGAACGGAACCAGTCTGTCTCTGTATCACACAAATTCGGCCCAGGGACCATACAATGAACCGGGTGTTGTTTGGGCGCATACAATTTCTTTTAATTCAGGGGTCAGGGGAATTTAAATTAAGCTTATAAGTACCTATGGAGGTCAGTAAGATACCTATGGAGGTCAGTAAGCTACCCAAGGACTTAACAGGTCACTTGCATAGCAAAGCAGAACAAACTGAAAGACTAAAAACAATTAATAGATCCATGTCACGTGCTTGGGTTGTGCCGCTGTAGGCCCATACAATGAAAAATTAAAGTACCTTTAGGCCAAAAACAAAAAAAATATTCGGTCTCTGGTCAGACTTAAGTTCCGGAATTGATGCGGCGACGCGTTTTTTGTTTTTCCCCCCCCTTTTTTTTTCAAGCTTGGATTGTACAGACAAAGTGGGTTACTATTTTGCTTTTTTGGTGTCTTCGTGTATGTTGGTGTCCTCCATAATTTGCCTTGGTGCCCTCGATCATTTGCCTTGGTGCAATTTCCCATTCCTTGGTGCTCTTTGGTAAAAAAAAAATTGAGAAGGTGCGGCAAAAGAGGGCGCTGTTGGAGCTTTTGCGGAACATTTTGGAAAAAAAAAAGATTGACGCGCATGATTAAAATCGACGCGCGCGCTGACCAGAGACCGACTTATTTTTTTTTTTTGGCCTTATAACTTCAACCCTCGAAATTTGCACCCCCTTTCGAAACAATTACAATCCTTCGTATTTTTGTTTGGTTTGAATGTTTCACAGATAAAGGCTAAAGATTCGCATATGCAGTTTCAGGCTTTAGGTTTTTATAGAGTCTAAAGTACACAAGTCATTCGGTGTTCTCTGATAAGATATCGTGCTTAGACAATTGGTGAAAAGATAAAAATGTTGACCGAGAGAGTACATACATCGAGCCAGTCTGCAAAAATGCCGTGTCCGCCCTAATTTTTTATTCAAACAAAAAAGATATTTACTTCATTTACACACGTATGGAATCTGTGTGGAATTGTGGTCAATTGATAAAGCTCACTGCAGTCAATTAATTTGAAAAACAAGCTCCTAAAAACCCTCAAGTTTTCAAAATAACCATTTCAAAATATTTGCGTATTACCTTTGGAATAATAAAACAAAAACCATGGAAGTTTACTTCATTTTGTGAAAACATCTATTACAATATCATCTTTATTATTTATTTTCTGGAAAAATACATTTGAATTTGTACCTTTATACACTTTTCCTTAATTTTTAATCAAATAAATGTATTTTTGTGTGTTAATCTTTACTTTTAAACCATGACTATTTATAATCTCAATGCTGGAATAATGAATAAAAGCTAGTCACAAGATTTATTAAATTTGGTACACAACGTGATTGTCTCAGTTTGTCTTCATTTATTGCTGTCACTATTAATATTTCATTATAAATATTGTTCATATTATATACAACCAACTCTCGTTCTGGTTATAGCAAACAAAGCCTTGGTTCTATAATTGTGCATTTATGTGCACAATGAATGGGACTGGCATTCCACTTTAATACAAAATTCTGATAGACAAATATTTTGGCTTAGTCCGGCCGCGTTTATATTAACGAGTGTCAACTGCACGATAAATAGTAATAATGATAGCAGTGGCATTAGACAGGATTTTGTCAGTGGGTTGGCGGGGGGGGGGGGGGGGGCCACACCAAGGGCAGATCCCCCTAAAAAAATCGAAATAAAAAGGGGGGGAGGGGCTGAGCTTGACTCTTTTTACGCTAGAGGGCGCTCTTTTTTTAAACAATTTATTCACATTTCATAAAGCTGTATGGTCAAAGGGATTAGAATCGAGTAAAAAAATGTAAACTTTTCAATACTCTAAAAAGATACTTTTAGAGGCGTAGTCCTTTGCAAGCAGCAAATTTCAGGTTTTTTTGTTGGGGGGGGGGACTTTTAAACCATGACTGGGGGGGGGGGGGGGGGCACACCAAGGGCAGATCCCCCTACAAAATTCGAAATAAAAAGGGGGGGGGAGGGGCTGAGCTTGACTCTTTTTACGCTAGAGGGCGCTCTTTTTTTAAACAATTTATTCACATTTCGTAAAGCTGTATACATGTAATGCAGGAATAATGAATAAAGCTAGTCAAAAGATTTATTAAATTTGGTACACAACGTGATTGTCTCAGTTTGTCTTCATTTATTGCTGTCACTATTAATATTTCATTATAAATATTGTTTATATTATATACAACCAACTCTCGTTCTGGTTATAGCAAACAAAGCCTTGGTCCTATAACTGTGCATTTATGTGCACAATGAATGGGACTGGCATTCCACTTTAATACAAAATTCTGATAGACAATATTTTGGCTAGGTCCAGGCACGTTTATATTAACGAGTGTCAACTGTACGATAAATAGTAATAAATAATAGCAGTGGCATAGACAGAATTTTGTCAGTGAATTGGGGGGGGGGGGGCATACCAAGGGCAGATTCCCCCCCAAATTTTGATTTAAAAAAAGGGGGGGGGAGGGGCTGAGCTGACTCTTTTTACGCTAGAGGGCGCTCTTTTTTTAAACAATTTATTCACATTTCATAAAGCTGTATAATCAAGAAAATTAAGGGATTAGAATCGAGTGAAAAATGTTTCAATACCCTAAAAAGGTACTTTAAGAAAGGCGCTTCCTTTGAAAGCAGCAAATTTCAGGTTTTTTGGTTGGGGGGCCGGGGCGCCGCGGGGGGGCACTGGGGCAGGCCCCCCCCCCCCCTCCCCCGGGTGACCTGGGTTTTGGTCCCGCCCAGGCAAACAGGTGGATTAGCTTTTCAGTCTTGAAAACCTCTAAAACTGAACCTCCCGTCACCATCTTCCCTCTACATATTTCCTCAGGTTTGTACGTTTACAGCGCCACCGAGGCTCTGGGGAATCTGTGTTTTCACGACCAGAAAGGTCAAGAAAGTGCACTCAAGCAGAACCTCTAGGGATGCCCACTGAACCCAATTGTCAAGGACACCCTTACTCATCAGAATCACTACTGCTACTCTCCGACAGTTTAGGACCTCCGCCTCTCACACCACCAATAGCTGCTTTTCCTTTCCCTTTCACTCCCACTTGACCTTTACCCTTTCCCTTTCGACCTTTCACACTGGGACCTCTACCCCTTTTACCAAGGCGCTTCCCGAGTCCAAGAAGTTCACTTTTCATTGCTGAAGGCTCCTCAGTGTCTGCAATTGGTTTGGCTCCTTCTGCACTGGGCCTTGAATATTCCGTCCTCAAATTACTGACAAGCGTCTCATCGCCACCGCCGTTTTTACTCAGATCTGTTGTGGGAGTTCTTGGAATAACACCCTCTGTTTTTCGAGCCATGGTTTCCTCAATTTCAAGAAACTCTGCCAGCAGAGATTGTTTATCTTCCTCGTAGTCTGTAATCTTCCCGCTAGTTCTCTGACTTCTTCGTAAGCTAGAGGATGGAGAATCTGCAGCATCTATCGCCCTTTTAATCTTCTTTGGTGCTGCATACTCCTCACTTGATGAATGCGTGTCTTCCCCGTCATCATCAGTCGCTTGGTTGCTCCTCTTCACTGCCTCGTCCTCCCCATCCGCACTGTCACTGGTTACCATGGATACCGCATCACTCTGTGCGTCAATAGTTCTAGCTCCACAGTCTCCATCTCCTTCATCTCTTTTCCTCTTCTTTGGTTTGGTCACCTTAGCAACTGTCTCATTTTTGCCTTTCCTCCCACTTGCTCCTTTTCTACTCCCCTTCATTTTTGTTTCCTCTTCTTGTTCAGCTGCTTGAGGATTCCGGAGATGTCTCAAGACTCGTTGAAGACGCTTGCTGGTCACCTTTCGGGGATCTCCCCTCTCAGATTGTAAGAAAGAGGTGATTTTACTCTGTGTCTGAAATAAAAAAAACAACAAATGCTGATTTTAGTAAAGGACACTTAAAAACAATTTTTTTCAGGTGGCTACAACCTAGTCTAATCTTTGCGACCATTTAAAAAACTCACCACTTTCTCATTCAGTTTCTTCATCACAGGGAGCAGAATCTCGTCAGTCTTGGTCCTTGTCCAGCCAAGCTTATCCCTGGCGAATGTAATCCTCCGGTTAAGGAAATTAGGAAAATCATGAAGAAAATCCTATGGAATATCATTTGAAAATATCTTGAAGAATGTCCGGGAAAAATCCCGAGGACAATCATTTGGAAAATCCCCAGGAAAAGCTTGAGGACAATCTTGAGGAATATAACGAGGACTCTCCAGAATAATATTCTCAGGAAAATCCTGATGACAAAAATCTGAAGAAAAAAACCTGAGGAACATCCTGAGGAAAAATCCTGATGAGAGAAATCCAGAGGAAAGTCTGGAGGAAAAACCAGAGGAAACTCCTACGGAAACTCCCATGGAATATCCCAAGAAAAATCCTGTGCCGAAAATCCGGGGACAATTCCAGAGGAAAATCCCGAGGCAATCCTTGGGAAGCCTCTCTTTCAGTCAAACCATGCTCAAGGGGCTGATTCCAACATTACTGGACCGAGCCCAGTCTAATGTGGCTTTCTTAGATGTAGGTAGCTCTCCAGCACTTAACTGGTTCGTCACTCCTCACTCAAATTCTGATGGGAGGCAGGTGGCTCTGGACAACGAGGCACATACATTGGGGATAGCCTGACTGTACGATCATGGAGCTACATCATGGTTTAATCAAAGACAAACCATGCACTCCCGCCGTATGTGCAAACAAATTTACGGTCGTTAACTGATTGAGAAGCCATTATCTCAGTAGGGTGCTCATGAATGCGAACCCAGGAATCCCGGGTTCGCGAAAGTCACATTAGACTGGGCTCGGTCCAGTAATGAACCCAAACCATTCCAACAAAAAGGATATTCTCTAAGGAGGCCGAGATCTGGGGACTGCCAGCTGAATTCCTCCGTCGAGTCGTCGACGACGGGAGACCAGTAAGCATCAAATACATGCTGACAGGGGAAGGATGCGGATATGGTCAACTTGCGCAGCTTCCCTTTGACCTGCGACTCCACGGGTGGCATCAACTGCTCCTGGGCAACATCCCACCAGGATCTGTAAAAAAATATTTACGAACGAACCACAAAGGGAAAACTGACTAGGTGAATTATAACAATGTTTTGAAAGTTGAACCAAGAAATGGACTGGAACGGGGTTTGAACCAAAGATATTGACGAATTGGGGAGCCGTCAATGTTGAGCTGGTTAGTTCAGTTGGTAGAGCACCGGAACGGTGTCCAGGGGTCGCAGGTTCAAACCCCGCTCCAGTCAATTTCTTTGTTCAACTTTCAAAAAAAAATGATCCAGCAGTGAAATTTTATGATTATTCCTTTCAGTTCCACACACTTTACAAACATGCAGGCACCATATCAGAAGACACTAAATGCTACCAAAGAGATGCCGAGTGCAGAACTGAAAGAATTAACACTCCTGCTGTCTGAACAGTCACAGACAGTACAAAAAATCGATCCTCTTCCCCTGCCATGCCTTTTACACAGGCTAGTCACCAACAGTCAGATCGTATTTCAAGCAAGCGCTGTGACTAGGTAGTCAAATTCAGTCAACAGACAAAAGCAGGCAAGTGGTAGGCAGAGCTGGCTCATCAAGCACCTACAGTCAAAAGCATAGCTGTATCAAGTTACATTAAAACAGTCACAGCCAATCCTGCTTTATGTAGGCTGGCAACGCTTAACTGTTAAAAACAGTCACTTGACTGATTTTGACTGAAAGGACAACTTTGCACAGAATATATGTCTGCCTGGACCCTTATGTCGCAGAGTGAGCTGTGGATGCGAGTTCTTACTAGTTCTAATAGCAGTTCTATCTTACCCAAGTTGACATGAGTCCTAATTGAAAGCATGAATTTCCAATGGAATTTTTCTTTCAACAAAACTTAGTATTTCTGCAATCATCAACTCTCCACAGGTTTCTTCAAGCCTATGAACAACACTGGTTGAGCTGCTTTCAAGAAATCCACAGTTTCATTTCTGAAAAAACAAAGCGCTGCAAATTTTATTGTCCAAATGTCTTACTTGAGAGCTTTGAGTAGGTCGACTCCTTGACCCGGGAACTGCGCGAGGACCTCCATAGCAGTCACCCAGCCGATTCCCTTGATGCCCTCCGTGTAGTCGCTGCCAAGGAGCATAGCAAGAATGATCAGCTTACAACGATCCAAGACTGAAAAAAAAACACGAGAGCAAAGTACAAGGAGAAATAAAACCTGGGATGAATTCGGGCGATTCACAATGCAGTGCGCCACCAAGAGTTTGCCATGAAGAGTCATTTTCTCAAGTTTACGGTCGACTAAGCATGGCCCATTTGAATGAGTTTCAGTAGACAACTTGAGCTAATTCATTACAGATTGGTTCAACTGCCTTACAAAAACACCGCACTGATAAAAAGAAACGAATAGGGCAAACAGATACTCGAATCACATGCTTATGTGAAACTACTTGACTGGCCGGCGCTGCACATTTGTCGACCAATGAACTCTCCAGGACAAACTCTTGGTGGCGCACTGCATTGTGAATCGTCCGAATTGCAATGATTCTGGTCTTGAAAAACAAAACGCAAATATGAAACACATCCGCTTTCTGAAATTGGGCCCACATTATTACCAGAAACTTCCCCTTCCAAGTTTTGTGGAATTCAGCTACAACTTGTTTTAGTACATATTAAATGCAACAACAATAATTAACCCTCCTGCTATTTCAACAGTCACAGACAGCCAAAATGTCCATCCACTTCCTCTGCTATACTTTAAACACAGGCTAGTCACCAGCAGTCGAATGTCAAGCAAGCACAGCGACTAATCAAATTCAGTCACAGACCATGAACAGACATAGCAGGAAAGTTGTGGGCACAGCTGGCTTATTAAGTAACACCAACAGTCACAGCCAGTCAATCCTGCTTAATACAGGCTGGGAATTCTTAACTGTTGAAAACAGTCACTTGATTGATTTTGATTGAAAGGACTACTTGGCGCAGAATGTATGTTAGCATAGGAGGGTTTAAGTTATTATTTTTAGCCAGTTCTTATTGGATTATTCTTCTTGGGGTTTTAAAAAACATCACAGCAGCAGTTTTCTTGTATCAAAATAACATCATGACTACCTCCTCCAACCTACCAAGCTGTTTCTTGACATCGTTGTTCTTGAAGCATTCCACGTCCCTCCGCTTGGAGAAGAAGTTTTTGTAGACGGTGCGTCCTCCAAACAGCCAGACGTCACTGTCATCAGTGATTGTGCCTTGCGTCTGCTCTGTCCTGTCTAAGAATGCGCACTGCGCCTCGGCTTCTTGGGGACTCTCAACGTACGGTATGCCAAACAGTTGGAGCAATTCCTACAAACAACGTACGGAATGCCAAACAGTTGGAGCAATTCCTACAAACAATGTACGGTATGCCAAACAGTTGGAGCAATTCCTACAAACAACGTACGGAATGCCAAACAGTTGGAGCAATTCCTACAAGCAACGTACGGCATGTCAAACAGTTGGAGCAATTCCTACAAACAACGTACGGAATGCCAAACAGTTGGAGCAATTCCTACAAACAACGTACGGAATGCCAAACAGTTGGAGCAATTCCTACAAACAACGTACGGAATGCCAAACAGTTGGAGCAATTCCTACAAACAACGTACCGAATGCCAAACAGTTGGAGCAATTCCTACAAACAATCCAAACATCATTTACAGGAGAAAATTGCTCTTTAAAGTGACAAGTGATCAAATCTGAGCCAGAAACAAAACTGCGACAACTCACTAACAACGTGAATAATGCACCATTTTAAAAGGTGGTCCCTCAAAAAAGTTTACACTTTTTCGGAGGCAGATTGCTCAAAATTGAAGAGAAATTTTGAAATTGCTTTAAGATATTCCTAAACTACAAGATCTTGGTCGTATATGGTGAAAACAGCGTTGAAAGTATTAGCTCAAGTTAAGAAATAGCGGCCATTTACAGAAAAATGGTCCAAAACTAGTTTGTCCGCGTCTATGGCAGTCAAGTAGACCGAATTACAATTATTGCAGTTCTTTGTCCGTGCAGTGCCATTGTGTGGATCGTATCTCATAGACTTGCGTATGGACAAACTGACCATATTTCTTCAAACCATTGCCATTTATAAATTTAGGCTTTGTTTTCAGTGCCGTTTTCACAATTTACCACGAAGATGCAGCAGTTTAGGAATATCTTGAAACTATGAAAACACGTCTCCCCGATTACCAAAAAATCTGCATCTGAAAAGGTGTAAACGTTTTTTGGACCTTCCTGCACACCTGTATTTCAAGGATGATTGCTGCATGCTTCACTACAAACAGCAGGAAATTGTGCATCTTCATCCTACACCAACTTTCAAGACATTCTTACAACGCTCTCATCATACGTCAGGTCTCTGATTGCCACTTTGACTTATTTCCCTTTACTATCCCATTCAAGTTTCTTCCAAGACATTCTTTGTTGCTCTAAGCATAAATCTGGTCTCTGATAGATTCCCGTCTTAACTTCTCCCGTTTCCAAGGTTCTCCCAAGACATTCAGACCTTGCTCTCAGCATACATCAGGTCGGTGATGGATGCGGCCACTCTCTCTTGCTTGCCTCTCTCTGTCCGCAGCATCTGACGCTGAGCCTCAAGATTCTCCTCAAGATGTGGTACATCCTCCTTCAAGAAAGAAGACAATTCTCTCTTTATAGCCTCCCCAGATAAACAAGTGTTCATTTCCACAACTGCACCCAGACAGAGCCCTCTCTGTCTCCAGTTCAACGTCTGATATATCTAAGCATGCAAATTTATGCGACCCCGCGCCAGCCAATCGGAGTGACAAATGACGTTTTTTCATTCAGAAATCTGGACTAAGCTGTTGATTGGTCAATTTGGATGCCATGTTTTTGTTATGCAACAACGGGCACAGAGATCTAATAAAACCCGACATTGGCTTTCAAAACCCTTAGCAAAATGCTGCACGTATCATCATGGGCGTGACCTGAATGCGCAAGAGGGCCTTCTTATTATTCGTGTTATTTAAAATATTATGTGATGATCATTCAAACCACATGAGGTTCGCGCATCGCGTGACATATCGTTACAGGCCGTCCGACGCAGCTTTTTTTTGCTTAGACAATTCAAAATGTAAAAGCATAGTAGATCTCATGTCTAGGTTTCATTAGATGGCCATGACAACGGGTAACCGAAGACCCGATATAGAAGGCGCCCGCTGAATGGTCAGAACCTCGAGGTCAAGACGGTCTAGTTGCATAATAAATCGCAGAATCTGCTCGCATATCACAGACCCTTGCTGTGCAAGGGGCAAAAGACGTTTACTCGATATTCTTTACCACATTCATGGCTTGCCATTCCTTCCTGGCTTCTTCTCGACGTCTCTCCATCTCAGCTTCAAGGTCCTCCTGTATCTCTTCGTCAATGTCTTCTGCATCGTCTACATCCTCTAGACCAACCTCTTCTTGAGTCCCCCCTCCTTCATCCATCTCTGTCACTAGGGCTTCTGTTTCCATGGGAACACTTTCTTGAGAAGCTCTTGACACATACATTCGATGAATGACGCAAAATAAAATACCATTAGGTAAAACACGGCTATGTCTAATTAATACCTTAACTAAACAGTCATTATCCTTAACCAAAAGTCAAATCTGCATTGCCATTAACCCTCCTACGCAAACATACATTCTGTGCCCAGTAGTCCTTTCAGTCAAAATCAATCAAGTGACTGCTTTCAACAGTTAAGAATTTCCAGCCAACATAAAGCAGGATTGACTGGCTGGGACTGTTTATGTAACTTGATACATCTATGCTGTGACTTCGGGTGATTGATAACTATATAAGCCAGCAGTGACCACAACTTGCCTGCTTTGTCTGTTCATGGTCTGTTGACTGAGCTCGACTAGTGACAGTGCTTGCTTGACATTATGATCTGACTGCTGGTGACTAGCCGGTGTTTAAAGTAAAGCAGGGAAGTAGAGGGAAATTTTGACCTTCTGTGACTGTTTAAATAGCAGGAGGGTTAACAAGGAAATTTAGTGTACAGAACTGTGTACAGTCTCTGCAAACAATACCTGGATTCTGATAAATCCCGAGTGTTGATATCTGCCGAGTTACTCGGCGATGAGGCTAGAGTTGTTACTTCACCCACACCAGCAGATGGTATGAATGTGCTGGCAGGAAATAGTTCTTCGACAATGGCTCGAGTCGATGACTGATCAGGCACTTCAACAAAGTCTCCTGATGATGAAGATAGTGAAGGAGAAAAGAGTAAAGCTCAACAAAAAGTTATTGATGAAGGTATATGAACATCAAGACAAGTACCCCTTCATCAAGGTTAAATATTAATTATGAAAACATCTTCTGTTCTAGTTTTTGGTTCTTCTGGATACTCAGGCTTTATAACTTACAGTTGCATACAGTCGACTCTCGTTAGTACAAACTCTGTTAATACAAAATTCTGGTTATAACAAACATAAGGCCTTGGTCCCGACTGTGCATTTATGTGCACAATGAATGGGACTGACGTTCCTCTTAATACAAAATTTTGACATAACAAACAATTTGGCTAGGTCCGAACAAGTTTGTATTAACGAGACTCGACTGTATATATTTCGCTGACAAGATTAATGCATAGAAACTAAACCAGTCACACAAAGTGTGAGTAAAACAAAAGGGAAACCCAAAATGCGCCCCTTATTTTTTAAAAAGAAGTTCTGCATGTAGCACTTTTCAAATCTAGCATGTGAAAGCCCAATTAATATGCTTTCTTTTAGTAAAAGAATAATTCATATTGCTAATGTAATTTTCCAGTTATGGACTTTCAAACACAACTACAGTATTACAATTTTGTCCACAGATTACAAAAAAGTTAAGTGATATTTCAGCAAAATGAAAACACTTCACGCAGAGAAATTCACCAGACACTCTCATTACCCTGATAACTGGCTCTTAGCATGACCTTTATCTAAACGCCGTCTGCTTCCAATGTTAAAACAACATGTTCTATACTGTCAAGCGTTGAAAGCCCTACCCTGCCTTCTACTTGGCTACCCCGGAGACTTATGGGATTATTCCGATATCATTTCATAATATGACATGGGTTTCATTTGACTGAAATATCACGTACCATAAATGTGATCCTTGGACAAAATGTTTAAACTGACTTTGTGTTAAATTTCTGTAACTAAAAAAGTACATGAGTGATTTGATTGATTCTTGTACTAAAGGAAAGCTTATTAACTGGACTTTCACATCCTAAGATCCGAAAAGCGCTAAATGCAGAACTTCTTTTAAAAAATAACGGTTTCCTATTTTTGTTTACTTACACTGCGTGACCAAACAATTCATTATGCAAGACTAAGTAACATTCCCAAAGTTTGGCGAATCACTGTTAATAAATTTTTCACTCACCATCACTGGATGATGCATCATCTGCATCAATCACTCCGTCTTTGGCCGCCTCCTTGACTGAGCTATCCATCTCAGCTGCGTCCGATGCCTTCTTCATCTCCTGCCTACTTGTTTCTATGACAGCAAGGTTCTCATCATCCGCGTCAACAGAGATGACATCAGGAGATGCTGTTGGCACCGATTCCTCGGAAAGGTCTTTGGCCGTTTCAGCTACCTCAGAGGTTTGTTCTTCCTTTTGATGGGCTTGTTCTAATTTGCTGGTTGCTTCATTTTCAACTCTCTGGTCAGCTTGCACCATGGAAGACATCTCTTTTGCTTTACGAGGAAGTGATGCGGAATCTTTCTGATCATCATCAATTAAGACGATTGTTTCTTTGTCTTGTCCCAACTCAGTCCTGTTCTCAAATAAACCAGTCTTGAAACTGTCCTGCGAGTGCGAGTCTACTTTAAGGATGCCATCATCACTGTCTGACCTCTGACCTTTCAGGCCAATTTTCTCAATCACATTTGATGATTCTACTTTAGGTATGACAGACATTTTGTCTGATGAGTCAGATATAATCAAATTCCTTCCACTATTTGACAAGTTTTTGACAACGTGCGCTATTTCTGCTGCGTGTTTGGAATCAACATCCGGTTCTGTATCATCAATGATGATCACATCAGTTTCCCATGGCATATGGGATGAACTTTGAACTTTGACATCATTCGCCATCTGACCGTCTTGTTCAATTTCACAAGTGGGTTTGGAGCCCTGGGAGTCTACATTCTTGTCTTGGTGACTGGCGTCTTCCGCGATTTCTGGAGTCTCATCTGCCTCCATCTTGGAGGAGTCTGCGTCCATCTTGGAAGAGTTTCGTTTCACCAACAAGTAATGGTGAGAGTCTTCGGACATGATACGACCTCCCTCTACCGCATGGGATCTACCGCTCTCGACATCCATCATGGATGCGATGGCACCGACGTTGCGTTCACTCATCTCTTTTTGCAGGACGTCGATCCGTTTTGTCATCTTGCCCTTTTGAAGGAGTTTCATCACTTGGTAGTTGGAGAAATCATTGGATTTCTACAAACAAATGAAAGCAAAAATGTTGTAAGTCATTTGCAATTATAATTCAATCCAGGGTTATGATGTTCTAAATTTTACTTAACTTAGCATGGGACAGATGCACTAGGATTTATTCTTGTAAACTTTTTTCAATTTTCAAAAATTATTTTTTACCTCTTTCCCTAATTTTTTTCCACTACGTACGCCGCTATAAAGAACATTGCGGAATCCACAGAAAGTTTTCGTGATAACGATCGTTCGGTATAGCAATTTTAAATCGCCGATACCCTCTTTTGACCAATAGTGAACAGGCATTTCTCATATCCCGCGGTTGCATGAGTCGTCGTCACGAAACTTTAGCAACGGGTGTTTTTTTTTTTTTTATTCCTTGGGGAAATAATAGCCATCTATCACTCTTTAACATTCAAACATGATGTAGGCCTAACCATGGGTGGTTTGATGTTCGGGAATTAAAAGTGGCCAAAATAGCATTTAATAAAACTGGTAGATTTTTTGTCAAATCTGTTGACTTTTTTTCCAACAAGAATGTTCCGTATGTTTTGTACATTAAAACCGAGAGCCAAGGATGATGTTCGGTATAGCCAAATGTTCGGTATAGCGGTGTTCAACTGTATTACATTTATGAAGATTAACCTGTGAAACTCAAACTTTTCATCTTGTTTCATTGGGGTCTGTTTCTGACAAAGTTTTTTTTATACATGTGCTGTGGATTTTGTTTTGTTATTACATGGCTTGAAAATAAAGTTGTAAACATTGAAATACATAAATAAATAAATGAGTCCTCTTTCTGATCAGAATGACCTTGTACAACACTGCAACTTTGCCCTTTACTAAATTATATAAAAAAATTCTAAATAAAGCCCCCCCCCCAAAAAAATATTCGGTCTCTGGTCAGACCAAAGTTCCGGAATTGACGGGGCCTTTTTTTTTTGTGGCTTTTTTTTCCTTTTCTTCAAGCTTGGATTGTACAGACAAGGTGGGGTACTATTTTGCTTTTTTGGTGTCCTCATGTACATTGTTGTCCTCCATAATTTGCCTTGGTGCTTTTGATCATTTGCCTTGGTGCAATTTCCCATTCCTTGGTGCTCTTTGGTAAAAAAAATGAGGAGGTGCAGAAATACAGGGCGCTGTTGGAGCTACCGCGGAACATTTTGGAAGAAAAAAAAGATCGATGCGCATGATTAAAATCGACGCGCGCGCTGACCAGAGACCGACTTATTTTATTTTTTTGGCCTAAACCTGAAACTTAAATAAAACAGCACTGCCTTTATCCACACATATTCCTAGTACATGAGTGTGAGAGACGCCATTGGTAACGTGGTCACTACTCAGTGGTCTATAGCTTGTATCCAGTGACTACTATACAGACATTGTAAGGCAGTGTATAAACTTCTTCGGTTCAACAGACACAATAACAGGCAGTCTTGCACACTGTACAGCTTGAATATGCCACAACCTGCCCTCATTTACACACCAATAGACTGTATAGAAAGCAGGGTAAAAACCCAGATCTATTTTTAAACCTTGCACAATACTAGGAAAATTTGTTGACCAATGCCATTTAGTCAGAATCACGCCTGCATGTTGGACTTGCTTGCTACATTTGCTGAAACAAGTTTGGAGCAAATTTATTGTTCTCTTCGCACTGTATGAATTGAATTTGCTTGCACAGACTCCAAAGTTTCACTCAGCGGAATATAAAGGTATATTATTTAAAGAAAGAATTTGTTGATATTTAGGTGATCAATGATGATACAATTCAGAATAATTTGAGAAGTAGTTTTGATTAATATGCACATGTATACAAATCATTTTCAGTTTGACTTTTGTTGGTTGATTTCTGAAGTTGATAGAATAATGATCATTGTGACCAGTCATGTTTTGCAACAGACAGGGCTCAGTAACATTTATTATGTAATCATAAGATGCATAGTACATAGGCTGTACAATTGGATGAGCTATTATTTTGATAACATAATTAGCACCCTCTGTAGTTAGACACATTTTATTGCAATGCCCTCGCTTGGTTCCTTAACTTTCCTGCAATCACATTCTAGCTTAGTTTTTGTGAATTTGAGAAAATACAGTTTGAAGTTTTGGTGCTCAAGGAAAATTATAAAAGCAATCTGTCAACCACGCTGAATATGCTAGTTGGGAAGATTTATTTCAATGAAATGAGTGAGTTTTTTGTTACAACTTGTTATTTTCAGAGAAAACACAGTTATTGTAGGCCAAGCCTTAAGGTGTTGTGCGCAACAAAAGGTCGTTATCCGTTAGTGACCTTTTGTCAATAATGCACAATGGAGATACTTTAGGTACCATATGAAACAAAAGGTTGTTATCCGTTAGTGGCCTTTTGTCGATAACTCATTGGTCATTATCATGCTTTTTACCGTAATGTTGCCAATAAGCCACCTTATAAAAAGAATACAAATGTGAAATAATTGCCAATTGCCATAACGACCTTATAGTTTTGAGGCGACAAAAACATGAAATATGAAATTGAATGTTTACAAAAGTTATGAAAAAAAATGAAATTTTCAACCTTTATTTTTCTTTACTCATTTGAAAATTTTAGATCATCAGTGATGTTTTTATGCAATTAAAATGTGCTTTTTTCATTACATTGTTTTTGTTTCAACAGATAAAAATGGCCAAAGCTCTAGAGAAAATCTGCTGCCATCTCGAATGTGATATCTGTGCGGACAGATACAAACAGCCCAAGATACTAGATTGCCAGCACAGTTTTTGTCAGAACTGTCTGGAGAAATACTACACTGGCAGGTATGGGGGTGAACCCAAGATGCCTTGCCCTGTATGCCGACGAGAGACGGTACTTCCGGAGACGAGCATTCAAGGCCTGAAAACAAATTTTCATTTGATGGGCATAGTTGAGGAGGTCTCTTTACAGGAAAAGGTGGCTTGTTCGGAAAACGCAAAGGTTATCTGTGAAATATGTGATGAGAAAAACGAGGCCATGCATCGCTGTCTGGACTGCGCACAGAACATCTGCTCAAAGTGTCACACGACACACATGCAATTTTCTGCTATGTCAAACCACACAGTGGCCACTTTTGAAGATATTCGTCAAGGGAAAGTAACTGTGAAAAGAGCACTAGAAGAGGATGAGTCTAAATGCAACAAACACAAGGGTGAAGCAATGCGGTTCTTCTGTGAGACATGCGAAGAGTTAATCTGCCGAGATTGCACCGTTGTGGACCACTGTAAACCCGAGCATCACTACATTGACTCAGGAGAGGCCTCTCAGAAATACAAAGAGACACTGAAGGATGTGTTTACCAATTTCGAAAAAGACATCGAAGGGCTTCAACAACGTTTAGTTGCTTCATCTCAAGCTAAACATAAGCTGGCAAAGAACATCACAACTTCTTTGAAAGCGGTACAGAACAGAGCAGCTGAGATCATTGAGCATGTAAAACGTCAAGAGAAAAAGATCAGTGATGAAATCAAACAAATTCAAGAGGTCCGTAATAATGTATATGATGAGCATGACAAAACAGTGAACATGCTGCTCAAAGGAAAGCAACATTCACTGCAGATTTCAAAAGAAGTCACAAATACAGCATCAGACAGTGATTTTCTTTCCCTCTGTCCAATCATCTGCAAAGACTTGAATTCACTGAAGGGTCAAGATCCTCCCCAGTTTGACCCCACGCTTTCACATCTGAATTTCAGCCCGGGTCAGAGGATTGGTGACATCAACCTGGGCAAGCTGGAGGATCATCAAGTGAGCAAGTGGGAGATGTCTGGTGAGTTTGGAAAAGAGGGAAGTGGTCCAGGAGAGTTTGATGCAGTTTGGAGCATTACTGCTACTCAACCTGGTGAGATTGCTGTAGCGGACAACAGGAACAAGCGAGTGGTCATCTGCAGTACTGAAGGACACCATAACAAAGAGATTCCACTTCAAAAAAGTAAATTTCTAACATTTTTATAATTTTGTGCATGTTTGAAATATATGGCACTCAGAATAATAATAATAATAGTGGGTATTAATAAAGCGCATGTATCCACCAGGACTGGTGCTCAAGGCGCTGAATCATTATTACCCCTGCTCATTGGGCCCATGAAACATTCCAAATACCATCTCAGCTCCCTGGGGAGTATACAGCTTGATGCTGCCTGTTAGGCGCAAGGAAGCTCAATCACAATAACCACCTCTGCCCTCACAGGCACCCATTTACTCCTGGGTGGAAAGAAGCAATGAGTGACAAAGTGCCTTTCCCAAGGGCAAACGCACCAAGACCCCAGGCTGGACTCGAACCCAAAACCTGCAGCTTTACCCGCAGACCACAAATCCAATGCCCTAACCACGAGGCCACACCACCAAAAAAAATCAGTCTGTGGTTACAGATACCACAAACAGATTTCCTAGATATTTCTATGACTATGTATATATACACAGTATCTTTTTGAGTAGGTTTTATTGGACTAGTAATTTTGTTTTCTTCCCCAGAGCCACGCGCCATTGAGGCTACTCCTGACGATCGGCTGATAGTTGTAGACAGCACCAAGTATGTCAAAGTATTTGACAAGGACAACAAGCCGGCCTTCCACTTCCCAACGGTGCCTCAGAGCGAGGTAGAAAACACAGAGGTGGATCTCCAAAGCGTAGCTGTCAAGAAGGATGGAACGATATTAGTCGGTGATGTGAAGAGGATGGTGTGGACTGAGCATAAGCTCACTGATGGTAAGCTCCTAGACACCATACCAGTGCAGACTCCGCCTTATCACCTGGCCATCAACGATGCCACCGATAGAGTTGTGGTCAGCGGAGATCGGAAAGTGGACATTGCACTGAGCAATGGTACCACACTGAACACCATTAAACCAACCATCAATGGTGAGCCAGTGCAGGTTTGCGCTGGTGTGTTTTGTGATGACTCCGGCGTCTACGTTGCGATGTCCAACGTTCGGCTTGGTTATGATGGCGCAAGTAACATATTACTCTGTGACACAGGCACTGGTCATGTTCACCGCTACAGCCTGGGCGGCACTTTTCTTGATTGTCTGGCTCAGGGTCTATTCTTCCCAGAAGCAATCACGTTTACTTCAGATGGGAGGCTGGCAGTGGCTGACTGCTACTCGGTTAAGATCTATCAGGACTAATTGTCGTAGATCTACATGTACTAACCCATCTCACAGAAAACTTACCGTACATTAGGCCAAAAAAAAAAAAAGTCGGTCTCTGGTCAGCGCGCGCGTCGATTTTAATCATGCGCGTCGGTCTTTTTTTTTTCCAAAATGTTCCGCGGTAGCTCCAACAGCGCCCTCTATTTCCGCACCTCCTCATTTTTTTTTTACCAAAGAGCACCAAGGAATGGGAAATTGCCACAAGGCAAATGATCGAAAGCACAAAGGCAAATTATGGAGGACACCAATGTACATGAGGACACCAAAAAAGCAAAATAGTACCCAACCTTGTCTGTACAATCAAAGCTTGAAGAAAAAAAAAAAAAGCAAAAAAAAAAAAAAAAAAGCCGCGTGGCCGCGTCAATTCCGGAACTTTGGTCTGACCAGAGACCGAATATTTTTTTTTTTGGCCTTACACTCACCATTTTGTGATTACCAATCTGGCACAAAAGTTCTGTGGTAAAAATCACTTGTGTGAAAATCACACAACATGTGCGACAGCCCAGAAGCTCTGTATGTCAAATGTAAATGCTTAAACTCATTTCCAGCCTTAAACTACTCCAGTCCGGGCTTACACATGTATCGACCATACAATCTGTGAACGGACAGATTAAAATTGATAAGAACTGATTAAAATTGTGCTTGTAATACAGATGTCGCTGTGCTGTTTTCATCAAATTTGTTGAAATTTTATATTAAAAATCAGACTTTGTGGGGAAAAGATCCTCAGATTGCATTTCATATTTTTAAAGACATTATAAACTTCTTCAAAATTGTTACAAATATGAGGGCCCTTTTGTTTGTAAAGTTTGCTTACTTACTATGTAACCATTATTCATTATGTTATTAACCGTTCTTCATTATGTTGTTGTGTATAAAGTAAACGAGAATTAGTTGTGTTTAATTGGTGTTTGGGGTTTGCTTGTTAGAACGTAACATGTTCTTGACCACTTTATGATATGTAAAGTTATTTTTTAGGTTTTGCAGTAGAATGAAATATGTGTACTCTCTGTACTAGTTGTTTTATTAAACAGATAACAGAAAACTTTATTCTTTGAAATCGATAAAAAATGCAACTTGTCTTATTGTCGCAAGATCTCCTGACAGGCTTCAAACCCTCCCATCTTCCTTATCTTGGGAAGTTGATTCTTTGTCTTCAATGCGTTCCTCTTCTTGTTTTCTTTCATCTCAATGATATCTGATTACCGTAATTTTCGGAATATAAGCCGCGCGGTGTATAAGCCGCAGCACGCAAAAATCTGCAAATTAAGATTTGAAGTCGGCGTATAAGCCGCACCAGCGTATACATGGTATAAGCCGCACCGACCGCAGCGGTTTCAATTTTATAAGGCCTCCAAATTCTAGTCAAAATGCTCTGAACCAGTTCCATTTACACTACAGAAGCTATAAAAAGGGCCACAAAAGTCATATCAAATCATTTACAATCGATACTCTTACAAACAAATATGGAAATTGATGATGAGAAATAAACACCGGGAACTGCTGCCGGCTGCCCCGTCCGGTCCCAGGCCTTAAAAGTTAGTGCATGGCCCGGCAGCTGGCCTGCGCCGGTGAACGACAACATTTTCCCACAGCACGTGAGAGAGTATGCAACCCACCGTGTGTTGTCTGACTGGAGCGCTACAAATCTTGCTTTGTGGCAACAGATGCTAGTTTGTTTTGTCCTAAGAATAAACAGGTCCGTTTTTACCTCAAAACTTATCAAATTGTTACGAGTAGTAACGTTAAAAATTCAAGTTTCGATTGTAACTTTCTTCAAAAATAGTCAAAACGAAGCCGACATTTTAATGGACGAATCCATTAATTTTGTAAGGGGTGATTTAGTCCCTGATTTGAGTTTTACATCGTTTCTTTAATACATTTCAAGAAAACAAAATATATTGTGACGTTGAACAACTGATTATCTAATACAAAAATGTTTCGAACACCATTAAAATTTTAGTCGTCTTTTTTCTTTTTCTTTTAACAGCGGAAATATTGGTAATTATTGTTCCCAAGAAAGAACACCCCTTTATTACCACAAATGGTGTGGTCCGCTGGAGGAAAGCATGCTGCATGGCATCGCATGCAGCTGCACTAGTATCACGTACGGCTGGTCGCAAGCGTCGAAGACAGCTTTCATCACCGTACTTTTTATCGCGCGGTACCTTTACGTGGGACGTGGTTTCGGTTTGTTAATGACTTTCTTAATTGATAATTCATTTCAGCAACACATCTCCTTTTGTACCAGTACATTAAATACACATGTGAATCTAATTTTTATTCTTCAAGGCTCGGCGTATAAGCCGCCCTGTGTATAAGCCGCAGTAAACATGTTCATGGGCAAAATCAACGTATAAGCCGTGGCTTATATTCCGAAAATTACGGTACCTTAAGATCTCCTGACAGGCTATGAACCCACCCACCATCCTTAAGTTCCTTTACCTTGGGAAGTTGATCCATTGTCTTCCAGGAATTTCTCTTCTTGTTCTCTTTCATCTCTGTGATTATCTCATGCTGCATCTCGGGAGGCAGGGCCTGAAAGCTTTCAGAGTCAATGTCGACATCATCCAGATTCTGAAAACGGTCAAAATGGTCGACTCTCAGAGCAGTATCATCATCCGAATCAGAATCACTGTAAAAAAAATGGACACGGGATGCAATTAATATTTCACAATTGTTGACTGCTGTGATGTGGGATATGACTGGAACCCGCACTGCAGCAGTCGACAATTGTTCTGTTATATCGCGCCAGAATTTCAGAAGATACGTTGTAGCTGTGTGAAAAATAACTGAAGGTTTTGATGTCCTGCCGGACATGAGACTTAAGCATTGGACATCGCAGTTCTCATTGCGCAGAGCTAAAGCTATAGCGTGTCTGCAGGCTCCCCATGCACGTGCAACTTGGGCAATGAATGAAGTGCGACGTTACCCTCTCTGTGTGACGTGCAGTTTTTGTCCAGGCACATCGCCATCCTAGACCAGTGAAATAACAGTATCCGAGCACACGACAAAACGATTTGAAATAACTTACAGCATGTGTTGCATTCATCATGTCATCACGTCTCAAGTCAAATCACTTGCCATTCAAATGAACTGTGACAAGGGTATGGGCTCCGTGCGGCGACGAAAGAGGGCGCCCTTTTACCTAGCAACGACGTCCCATGGGCGGGACATTTCGCTGGTTGACGCGCACTGTTCCTTGTGTGTGATGCATGTACACCAGGGGATTTGTACTATGTACACGCAGTGGCTGCACTTCACAGCAAATGAATTGCAGTCAGGCAAGATAGTGTCGGTCGGTCACCCCCAACTGTACTCTCTTTGCCGGTGAGGGGGTAGTTGTGAATGGAGCGGATTCCTTTGTTATTGTTCAATTTGGGCGATTCGCAATGCAGTGCGCCACCAAGAGTTTGCCACGGAGAGTCCATTTTTCAAGTTTACGGTTGACAAATCATGGCCAATTTGAACGAGTATCAGTAGACAACTTGAGCTAATTTGTTATAGATTGGGGCATTCTGCCGCCTAACAAAAACACCATATTGATAAAAAGACAAGAAAAGAGCAAACAGATACTCGAATCATATAACTACGGACCAGAAAAATGAAAAATTTTAAATGTTCCGCGCTGCCAATTTGTAGACCATCTCCCACAATGCACCGGGAAAAATGAACTCTCCGTGGCAAACTCTACTGCCTTGTGAATCGCTTGAATTCCCTATGTCTTTCAAAATTAAATCTTTTCTTTCGTCTGTTTTGAACAGCGCTTCGAAAAGACAGGTGTTGTCCAGCCCCAGCCCTTTCCTTTGATTGCAATGGTTGGGCTGACCTCAAAGTCTGCTTGCTGCCCCTCCCCCTTCCTCCCCCCCCCCCCCTCACAAGACACTGGTCTCTCGTGACTATGATAGTGAATGGACTTGTGAAGTACTTGTGAAGTACTTGATCCATCTGAGAGATGACATCATCTCCTTACCTCCACGAGTCTTGCAACAAGGCAGAAGGGACTGGAGGAAGCTCAAACATGTCTGGCTCGGTCGGTAACTTCTTCAGTTTTGGCGTTGAGCTGTCCTGAGAACCACTTGATACAGAACAAAACAAACGGGTCAATATATGCAAGCCCGTAGGTGGGGTTAGGGGTCTTGTGACAACAATAAGGGCGTGGCTTTGCAGAAATTCTACGAGATCTTCGGTGGTATAAAAAGGAATAGATGCAAGACATATTACCTCGCCTCGCCCATGACGGCCTGAAGGGCGTGGCTCTGAAGATACGTCTTAATGATCTTCTCTGATGTCCTCTTTGATTTTCCAGCGGCAATCTCCCGTTTCTGTCTCCTGGCAACCTAAGGATAAAGTTGAAGTTAAACACTACCGCGATGTAAACATAGCTTTCTATAAGTGGTCTCACGTTTCTGTCTCCTGGCAACCTAAGGATAAAGATGAAGTTAAACACTACCGCGATGTAAACATAGCTTTCTATAAGAAGTCTCTGATACCATAGCTACGCAACTGTTTCTCTTACTTATTTATAATAAGCATGGATTGTTAACTGTTTCCCTTAAGTAGTAAAGTGATGTAAATAAATAAAGAGAAGCTTTAATTGAGTCATTAACTGGCTGATTGGGAATGTTTTTGTACAAAGTCACCCAGCTGTATCTCAGCAAACCTTGAGATATTTAATGTAAATATATGGGCGATTATAACCTGTTGGTTGCCTGGCAAACCGTTAAATGTATCCGGCATAGACCAATCCCAACATGCCATCACTGTCCACTCACCGAGGTAGATCAGTTGCTTTGTACAATAGCGACGTTGTTTTTACCATTGACAAGGGTTTCTATGAGTGCACGGTGTTAGCGTGCTGGACACCAGATCAATGGTCTTTCAATAAGGGGATATTTGGCTAGTTTTAACCAGTTCACGTCCGATGACGTACATACACGCAAAGGTTTGGCGGTATTCGGAATGGATGACGTATAAACACGCAACAAGCGAGGCCGGAAATATCAGGGTGTGCTACCCGCACATGGCGGCCTAAACCCGTCTGGCATCGAGGTTGGTGAAAACCATCCCGTGCCTGGGTCCGGTCAATGTCAAAATAATCCCGGCGCGAACTGGTTACACAAGTCCGTTTACGACAGGTTCGGGGAATGGACGCTGATATTCGTCTCAGGTCATTATCGACGACCAGGCCCCAAGCCGGTCTTAAACGGACTTGTTTAATACCGGCCAAGCACGTATTTATTCCAATTCATAAATACATTTTCGGTCAAAAAGTCCAAGCAAGTCTCACATGACAACTTTCCGACGATTTTGTGCAACCATTTTACTGTGTTTCGAAACGCCCCTCTAGCTATGCATATGCCTTTCGCGAGAAGTCGTAAACAACTCCTCATATGAAGATTGGCGCGCGTGTGGTGTGCACTGCGCGATGTGGCGCAGAATGCAGCGGTTCAGGTGTAGTGTGACTTCAGGACTCTCGAAATATGGACTCACTGCACATGCCTAAGTGAGGATTGTGAACGTTCAACCAATAAAAGGGTATAAAAAGGGATTAGATTTCACAGGAGTCCAAATTCAATGTGACACCGGAAAAGTGTTTAAACCCAGCCAGCCGGTGTTTTATCAACTGTTTAGGACTGGCCATGTGACAGGCTCTCGACCAATAGGAATGGATACACTGTTGAACAAACTGATGGTAAACTATTGCCACATTTGTAAGATGAACTCATAAGTCTATTATTGGAAAGATCATTTTCAAGCACTTTCATGTTTTGTAACTTCTGCAGCTTACTAATCAGGGTTGCACCTTATTGACCAAAACTAGTGACATCAAGTTTGACTATGTTTTGCTTTAATTCTAATATAAAAGAAAGTACAACCATGCCAAATGAGTGTGAGTGTCGTTCATGAAAATGCAGTTTAATCAAGTCCAGTCTGGGTCGGAGTCCTATGAATAAAAAACAATATTAGTGATCAAACTTGAATCCAAACCTCATTCTTCGACTTGACTTGAGCCAAGAACTTGACTCTATTTTCCTGCACTTGTTCTTGAGGTCCTATAAATTTGGTATTATATTTGCATGAAATTTTGACTCAAAAGTAGGCTGTAAGCCCACACTTTTGCTGTTTTTGAATGTATATAGTGATTACACATAATACTGAAAATACAAAATAAATACAGTAGTAGACCACAGAGCCATGACTGTCATCATTTTTCTGAATCAAAATTACAGTTGCTTGATGCCACTCACAAAAAAGAACTGCATTATGTCAAATAATATGCAGCTTAAAAGATCCAGAAAATTATACTGAACTACCAAGTCAAGTTCAAATGAGTTTGAAAGTTACAACTTTAATGAAATGGTGCAAATAGTTATGTGCTGTGATCAATGAATGCACTGTCCGCGCAGTGTTTTTGAGCAGAAAGGGTGTGAAGAGCACACTGAAATCCTGGCAACTGTCTCCGGAGGACTGGGACGTCTGGAGATTCATCATCCATAGTGTCTGAGACATGCAACAATCTCACATATAAATGATTTATTGTTTCACAGTGCAAAGAAGGAACAATGCTGAATCTGCTCAAAGACAGCCCCCTGCCTGGTCGCCTGGTTCAGTTGACACGTCTTCCGTGGACCACTCCGCTGCCAGAGATTGAAGGAGTGGCATCGAGGCTCCGCCCAGCACGCCTCCCCGCAGTCGATGAGGCCCGTAGTCGTCAGGTTCTTCAAGCCATGGTCGAGCAGACACTGGGGAGTGAAGCGCCCACTCCGATCGGACGACATGCAGAACCTGCGAGAGGGGTCAGGCATCTCGCAAATGGCTGTCTTGTTCCTGTCGCAGACCCCTCTGCTTGCTTGAACAACATCATCCCGCCCCATTCTCAATTTGACGCAGTCACTTCTGGGATTGTTCTCCCACAGGCCCACATTAATGGGCACCAGTAATCGCCCGTCATCGACACACGCCACCTGGCTCAAATCAAGGTAGGAGGAGTCAAATTTGCAGCCGATCCAAAGGCTGGGTCCCCAGTGTTTATCCATGTCTAACAGGACGTCAAGTTCTTCGGGGGTGTTAGGCACCGCGAGATGACCAACTGACGCTCGGTCACAAGCCGTGACAGCCTGGTGCCAACTCATCTTCTCTGGCAAAAAGATGTAACACAAGTCACGCCAAGACACCCATCCAGTAGGACAGGTGGCAAGAAGGACCTGGAACGCTACAGCGCTCAACAGTGACAGCCGCACTACAATGCTGAATCCAACGACAGCCGGCATAATGGACTATTTCAGTGTTAATGTAGTACGCTACGCAATGGTTACTCCGCTACTGGTGCCACCAATTTGTCCAGTTCTCAAATGCTCGTAGTGACAAGATCTTTGCTAAAAGCAGATCAAGTTATTACAGCCGTGAATTGTTCAGTGGTTCGCAACTTTTGTTTACCACCCTGGGATTCAGGGTTTAAGACGCAGCAAAGACAGAACACAACCGAGTTGTTCTTTGAAACTCTAACTCAAAAGTGTTCAGTCACGAAGCTACATGGATGATAATAAGCAGGAAAATATTGGTGGCTCGACAGACATCGGGTACTTTAGACCGAATGGAGTGGTATGGCACTACTTACTAACACGTAGCATGGCTAAGTAAAGCCATTATCATTAAAGCAAGCTTTATACGCGGCTTAAGGGGGGGGGGGACAAATTACTGGAAAATTGAGTAAATTATGGTTAAGAATGGGCTTTTGTTTCTGCGTCATTATGCTTCTAATCATGCATGCATTATTAGGCATCGACTAATGGCTTGGTTATTTTGGTTAATCACTCCTACACCTGTACACTGTGTAAAATTCTGAACAGGTTTTTTTTGGGATGGCCTAAAGAGGAGGAATGACCTTCAATGACTTTTGCATCGGGGGGTGGGGGGGGGGGGGAGGGGGAGAAGGGGTGCAAATACCTTGGGGGGGGGGGGGGGTTGGGGAGGGGAGGGGGAGATATACAGGGAGGTGCAAAAAGAAGGAAAACCATGCACTTTTTACAGGAATTTTGACATTTTTTTTACATACAGTGAAGTATAGTTTTTCATTCATACGCGGTAAAAAATCTTTGAACAAATCGCAAGAATAGTGTTATTATGCTTATTTGAATACAAGTCACCAAAATCACTGTTGTCCACGTGTAAGTCTAGTGAAGTGGTTTTTTGTCTTCAAATCAAGCTCCGGAGCTCAGTCAAGCAGGTGGAATGAAGCCGTCCGTGGACAAAGTGGTTTGACACACGAAATTTTTAAACTACCATACCTCAGAGACAAAATATGCATTTGCAATCATTTTTTTGGTCACTTTTGTTTAAAGATCAATATTCTAATACCATTAAATTGAATATTTGAAATATGCTCAACAAGTACATGAAGGTGAGAATTGTTGTCAAAAGTGGGTTTCCTTCTTTTAGCACCACCCTATATTCCACCCTCCTTTTTGTCCAGGGACATAGGAGTACATGTACGATTTTCCCCTCCATTCGATTAAAGGGGTTCTGCGTCCTGAAATCCACCAAATTTTCATGTGTGGGATTGTTTACTTATCCTATTTCAAACATCTGGTTGAAAGGAAACCAACCTCATGTCTTACCGTTCCCGAGAAAAGAGGAAAAAACCCCTGTTTGTTTACATCGGACATGACGGAGTACGCATACGTTTTTCCTGTCGTTTTAGTCAATGTACGATACAGGTTGTGTGTGTCGCATAAAATTACTCACAGCACCAACGCACAAATGTGGTTTCTTATAATACACGTCCGCAAAAGGCGAACACTTTATGGCTGGAATCACAACTAGCATGAACAGCCCGACTTTTTGGGGTCGCAAAAGTGGACCAGTGTCATAGTACTCGTACTCGGTACTCGTACTCGAGTACTACTCGAGTACTTATTGTGGAGTACTCGTACTCGTACTTGAATGTCAAGGTACTCGTACCCGAAAGGACGGTACTCGTACTCGGGCAGCAAAGTGCTCGTACTCGACATGTCGAAATTGTACTCGATCATCAAAGTACTCGTACTCGAAAAGCAGTATTCGGGGGGAAATGCTATAGCTTGACTTTATACACCATGGCCTTATTTTATCGATACTTTCAGTTTGAAATGGTTGATTGGCTTGTGGAGAAATCGAAGTTTCCTGATTTTCCTCTGTGCACGTCCAGACAAACACATTTAACAGCCAGCCGTGAGTGGGTCTGTACATCGGTCTGACTGGGCCTGGGCCAATTACGCACAATGAACCATTGCCGTATGGTCGTATTCGCAATACAAGTACTCGTACTCGGAAGTACAGTACTCGTACGTATAAGTACTCGTACTCGGAGACCTGTTCTTGTACTCGTACCAGTACTCGTACTCGGCAACCTTAGTACTCGGTAGTACTCGGTACTCGGAAAAAAAAGTACTCGACTACAACACTGAAGTGGACCCCGAAAGTCGTTCTCGCAAGCATAAAACAAGAATAAAACAAAAACGGGCAGTTTTAAAGGATAGTTGTGTGGATGTTTAATATCTTACTTTTAAATGTTCTTTCCGATTAACAGCATTTCAATCAAATCCCGTTTTGTAGCCCAATTGCGCTCATTCCAGGACTGAATTTGAAGGCCGTATGTCCAACTATTTCCAAAAATCACCAACCACAAACTAAATTAGTTTTTACTAAGAAACTGGGGGGAAAATCAAGCAACTTGGACTGTAAAAGTTAGATGCACGGAGGACTATGCTACAAAAAGTGAATTAACCGTCATGAAAATTCTGTGACAAAGTCCACGGACAAGTTTTTCCCACAAGTTTTTTCCACAAGTTTTTTCCACAAGTTGTGGGGTGCTGTGGTCCAATGGTTACGGTGTTCGACTCATGTGCCGTGTGCCGTGGTACATGGGTTCGAATCCTGACCGTGGGAACATGGTGCTTGTGCTCTTGAGCAAGGCACTTTACCATTATTGCTTTGTCCTTCAGATGGGACGTGAAGCCGTAGGTCCCGTGTGTTGTGAAATGCACGTTTAAGAACCCAGTAACACTTATCGCTAAGAGAAGGGGTTTGCCCCGGTGTTTCTGGCAGTGACTGCGATATGTGCCGCAGCATCTTGTAACCCATAATAAGGTGCTACATAATGGGTCTCATATTTCTCATGAACTTTATTTACCTTTCTTTTATAATTGACATAATTTCCAGCGCCTTGAGTACCTAATTGTTGGTAGATACGTGCGCTATATAAGACTAACTTTAGCAGTAGGGTAATCTGCCACATTAACCCCAGTACTTACAGTTGTCTGTCTCTTGATTTCTGGAACACTGCCGTCGAAGACAAATATCGGTTTGATGCGGTAGAAGAGAAGTTTGCAGATGCGATTGAAGAGGACGTGGAGATGAGCGTTGGTGGCGACGTTTCCTCCGTCGTCCCTCATGCCCCGCATCGCTTGATGTAACCATAAACTCACATCTTAAGAAATCACTTATTTAAGGAAAATGCATCACACATGGCCCAGACTGGACCTTGGGTGCAGAAAAACGTGCAAAATTAATTCAGGTCAACTTTTACTCACTCTTTGGCCGACAAAATTCTCCAAACAGTTTTGTTAGGTAAAGACACTGTCTTCAGTATGTCATCATTTGAGGTATCAATTCAATTTTTATAGGAGACTTTAAAACCCTAACTCCCTAGGCCTATTTCCAAAGATGCGTCTAAAGACGCATTTTTGGAAGTTTCCTTTACCCACTAGTAGTTTGTTTTTCAATTTGGCAAAGCTGTAAATGGGTGCACGCAAGTGTTGGCATGACGCACAGTTTAGGCCCCCCCAAAAAGTCTCCGGTTTCTGGTATGCGCGCGCATTGCCGTAGCCATGCACATCGGCAAAATTAAAAAGATTCGCGTCGCCGTAGCCGTGCGCATCGGCAAAATTAAAGAGAGTTTTTTTTCAACATAAGATGATGTCTCAAAACGGCCAAACTCACTGGTTTGACTGGAATCCTGCTGCTGCACAGTTTTAACGTGTTTTTAGATGGGGTTACGATCGAGTATAAGCTTTATGTGGCCTCTCTGGGCTTTTGGGCCAAGCTCCATACCAGAAACCGGAGACTATTTTTTTTTTGCCTTAGTTGCTAAGCACCCTTTATTAGGTTTTGAGTACTTTTCTTGCTTCAAATGAAAACAATGTACAAATGACAAATGATATACATGTACTCTACCTTTAATTTATACATAGATTTGCAAAATATACGGCACATAAAAATAATATCGACTTTCATTTTACTTTTATTTAAATATTTTATTCGTCCTAATCCTGTCATGTTTCGATTGTTTGTTTTTTGTTGTTAAAAATTTGTTATAAAAAGCCGTATCCTCTCCGAGTGATCCCCGTTTGCTATTTCCTTAAAGGTCTGTATCATGACTGTGGGCGTGATCCCTGGCTGTATGGCATACTGGTTTATGGCTTCTGACTAGCGCCCCTTGAACAAAGACAAAATAGGGAATTGCCAACATAGGGCTGGATAGCTAAGTTGGTTAGAGCACCGGAACGGTTACCAGGGGTCGCAGGTTCAAGCTCCGCTCCAGTCAATGTCTTTGTTCAAGTTTAAAATTGTTTTTTAATTTTTCATCACCACTACATCGTCTAGACATATCTGTTCTAGTTTAAAGGATACCGACAGCAAGCACTTTGCCTTCTAACGATTCCAGTGACACTGGCCTCCCTGTGGACTCGAGCAGTTTCCATAATCCTTGGACTCCCATGATGACTATAAAGGGCACACATCTGCAGGCAGTGGAAGATTAATGTTAGATTTAGATAGAATTTGTTTGAACAAATCACACTTACAATGTACCAGAGTTGCTGACTCGAGTCATGTGACTTGGACTCGAGTTGGACTCGAGTCGCTATTTTTGTGACTTGTGACTTGACTTGTAAATACCAGCTTTGACTTGTGACTTGACTTGGACTTGCAAACAATGACTTGTGACTTGACTTGGGATTGCAAAAAAATGACTTGTTACCAACCCAAGTCAGACGCTACTCGAGCGACCCAATACACTTTAATTAAGCTATTATACTTTTAATTAGCTATTCGGTTTACGCCTTACGTGCATTAATACGGACTTTGGCTTGCGCGGTTTCTACTTCGCCCAGCTGCAGCTGTAGATCATATCAGTGAGCTGAGCTGTTACGTTGCGTAATGCCTGCCTGCACTTCTGGTTGGTAAACAGAGTTGTAACGAGTCACTGATTTTTGTGACTCGAGTCGAGTCGAGTCATTTTAAAGAAGTGACTCGAGTCGAGTCGAGTCATTAGGTCAACAAGGTCGAGTCGAGTCGAGTCGAGTCACAGAGTGTGGTCGAGTCGAGTCGAGTCGAGTCAAGTATTTAGCTCGAGTCAATTCGAGTCACAAATATTTGAACACTTAATTACAATAAAAAGCAACAAACACAAGAGAGAAAGAATACAAGGCACCAGTCTATTACGGAAATCCAAAGACATAAAGTATGCTGTATGGTACCCAACCAACAGTTTCCATTGCTAGCTCACGTCACAGATAAGAAGATGTGAAACTTCGGTCTTATAACTGGTTTGGCTTCGGGTCTAGATTTTGTTGTTCGCTGATCGCTGACAACGTTAAAACCTAATTGCATTATACAAAACTGTTTCTGATTATTTAAAGGTGGGCCCGTCCGTATCCATTTTTGTGTGTGAAATCGGGACATGAATTTAGCCAGCGTTCCACCAAGAACTTCAAAATCGCCCGAAACCAATGATGAAACCACGGATTGAGAAATGCGTTTTAAGTCTGGTTCCGGGTTTAGCATTACATGCTATAGAACCACAAGGTGGGAGTCCGCGACACGGTGTATGTTTGTTGTTTCATTATGGAGGAAGGAAACAGACTGCCGCTGTATATAAACGTACATTATTCGCGAACATTAACGTGACGTGAACAAAAACTGGCAACGCGAACGGCGCAGCGTAAGTCATTGCAAATATTTTTCGCAAGTAAGTTTTGCTTTTATTTGGGACTCGAGTCTTATTAGCCTTCCTCGAGTCGAGTCGAGTCATTCTGATGGTCGAGTCATTCTGATGAGGGACTCGAGTCGAGTCGAGTCATTTGCTCGCAGTGACTCGAGTCGAGTCGAGTCATTTACCCGTCGGGACTCGAGTCGAGTCGAGTCGCCAAAAAAATGTGACTCGAGTCGGACTCGAGTCGAGTCATTGACTCGAGTCATTACAACTCTGTTGGTAAATAAGAACAGCCTCCCCGGACTCTTTCCTCTTGCTATGAGGGTGCTGTCTGTTCCTGCTACTAGCTCCCCCATCGAACGTGTATTCAGTCATGGAGGAATAATTATGAGGCCACACAGAGCAAAGTTGAGTGATACTATGCTATCAAATCTTGTTTATTTGAAGTGTAACAGTTTGTACATGAAAAAAATAGATTTTTTTTTTCAATTGAAGTCGCCCAACAAAAGGCCCAAAAAGGCCACTCAAGGTGTTTATAAATGCAGTTTATAGTTGCGAGAAAGTTTCATTCCAGAAACTAGACCTCAGTGACTGAATCCAGTAAAATGAATATTTCCCACTAGTTTCAAAAGTTTTCAATAAGACTGTCACAACAAACTACTTTTTCAATGACCAAGTCTCTTGCTTAATGTAATGGTTGAACAAACTTTGAAAGGAGCCTTTCATGAAAAGAAAGCAGGCCTTTGTCAATTGCATGTAAAATACCGGATAGCCTAACACATTGGTCGACGTTTAGTATACATGAAAATTGAACAATAAAGTGTTAGTATACACATATTTGTACTAGTAATCGAGTGAGTGAAGTCTTTTTTCATGTCATCTCGACATTTATTTCTACAATGTTAAGTAAATTTATTTAAGTATACAAAGGGCTAATATCCGACAGATATGTGATAAACTACAAGAATAGTAATTGCAACACATTGGAAAAGGGGAATTAAGGAGGCATGTTCAAAATAAAAGTTGACGCCAGGTTCTTTTAGCTTATTACAGCTGGACAAAATAATGTGCAACTTGACGTGTTCTTGGACAAAGATACTTGTGACTTGACTTGTGTTTAGACCAAATGACTTGTGACTTGACTTGTGACTGGACCTAATGACTTGTGACTTGACTTGTGACTGGACCTAATGACTTGTGACTTGGCTTGGACTTGCAAACAATGACTTGTGACTTGACTTGGACTTGCAAAAAATGACTTGCTGCCACCTCTGCAATGTACCAACACATCCATGTGCGGTGAGACTTGTGTGTTGAAAGTGCATTGAATGCGACAGTAATAAGCTGCGTGTAATGCATGCTAATTTATGAGTGCACCAGGCTTAGCCCCATCAATGTGGCCACTTTACTGGACCAAGGGCGGATCCAGGGGGGGGCCAAAGGGGGCCATGGCCCCCCCCAAAACGAAATCAATTTTTTTTTTTTTTTATGTGACATCGCAATAACGGCAGGCAATGAGTACACCACCATCTTTTCCTCAAAAAAAAACATTGGTTAAAGTGGTCAGAAATTGCCTCAGATCGCACCACAGAGCATCTAGAATCCAAAAAATTTTCGGGGCCCTTAAGCGGGCCCCGAACCCAACGCCGTAATTTTTTTGACCCACTTTTTGACATCGCAATAAAGGCAGGCAATGAGTACACCACCATCTTTTCCTCAAAAAAAAGATTGGTTAAAGTGGTCAGAAATTGCCTCAGATCGCACCACAGAGCATCTAGAATCCAAAAAAAAATTTCGGGGCCCTTAAGCGGGCCCCGAACCCCACGCCGTAAATTGTTTGACCCACTTTTTGACATCGCAATAAAGGCAGGCAATGAGTACACCACCATCTTTTCCTCAAAAAAAACATTGGTTAAAGTGGTCAGAAATCGCCTCAGATCACACCACAGAGCATCTACAAACCAAAATTTTTTCGGGGCCCTTAAGCGGGCCCCGAACCCACGCTGTAATTTTTTTTTTTCCCCCTTTTGGGGGGAACCAAAAATTTTTTTGGCCCCCCCAAAAATTATGTTCTGGATCCGCCCTTGTACTGGACTACATCCGCAGGCAAAGGCCACACTTGGAACATGTACCCGAAAATGTAGCACTCTGTCAAATTTTGATTTTCACACATTTTAGACTATTTTGTAGTCTGGTTTATTGATGCTTTAGATTAGAAAATAGAAGCACACTTGTTATGCTCGCCTTCTTTAAAGTGATGCAAAAGAAGTCCCTCCTTTCTCAGACGACTATTTTTTGTGTAATTTCCAGTTTCATTGGCACATATGGGACTACTCCTTTAAACTTCACTTAGCCCTAATCTATGACTTCCAGTTCCACTGGAGTAGACTTTGCATGCCAGCATATAGAGTTTACTCCAGTGCGGGCCATAAACTAGGGCTAAACTTCACTATACTCAATGATATATAGCCCCATAAATGTGGCCAATTTACTGGACTACCTCCATAAATAAAGGCCACACTTCCACGGTCCACCATGTACAAAAACATGTAGAACTTTGTCAAATTTCGATTTTCACATTTAGGCTTAGTTTGTAGTTTATTTTTGCTTTAGAAGCATACTCACCCTCTTTATTATAGGCTAATCAGAAAGTGCTGCCTTTAAATTAAGAAGGCGAGCATAACAAGTGTACATGTGGATGTGTGGCCTATGTTTACGAGGTAGTCCAGTATATTGGCCACATTTATGGGGCTAGCTAAACACTAACAGTTTAAGCTTTATCACGAGATAGCTGCAGTGTACGTATACGACACATGACGGACAGGTGAACGCGTTTAAAATAAATACTCACCGCCCCTCAAGTTCTCACGTCCCTTTTTATTCCCCTTAAAGAGAACAACTGAACGCTTGCATAAGTCTGAGAAATAGAGTACATATCTGGACATAGATTTATCCAAAAATTACATCCGCACGAATATAACTGAAAAACTTCCACAGAGATGAACCCGGTTGTCTTGCAACTGCGATAAACACTGCCCTCTGCTGTTAGAAAAAGTGTATACGTATGCCCTAGACTTGATTCAAGCACTGATACTCTTCCCCATAAAGTGTATGGATGCAACCCTGCAAGTAAATTCCCACAGACACTAGTGCTAAATGCCCATACTTCAAAATTCTTTTAAAAATACTCAGAACTCTCACAGGTATTCAAGCTGCACAGAAAAATGATGATCAACGTGTCATCTTTCGTTTTCTTTTCATTTTTTGGTGGGTTGACCATTACCTTTGCGAGATATTCTTACCCAAAGAAGACGACCCCTATTTTCCCCAAAGCGGAAAAGTAGCCATCTTGAAAAACGATCCCTCCACAACATGACAAAATAGCGCCACTTTCGAGCCCAGTAGCATCCAAAATGCTCAGAATTGGAAGCCCCAAGTCCGGGCCAGAGGTTCATTACCATATCTCTTTAATTCCCCAATTTTACGGCGCTCAGAACTCTCTAATATAGAATATTTTGAGGGTATAACTTTTATTCAGGAGCTCGGCGGATGGATTTTGGCCTATTTACCGGTGTGCATCCTATAATAGCAGGTAACTGCTATTGTAACTGCTAAAAAAAAATTGAAAGAAAAAAATTATCCGAGGTCGATATTAGGCCCGAAAATAGTGACTTTTTTTGCCCCTGCTAAGATGTAGAGCGCCCCCAGCGACAATAAATTTAGTTTCAGCTACTTTTAAGCTAAAAATGCCCCCCCCCTCCCCCTTTTCAACTAGCAATTGTTGTAATCGGCTGATAGCCTACTGCTCCCTTACAAGGGCGGATCCAGAACACAATTTTTGGGGGGGCCAAAAACATTTTTGGTCCCCCAAAAAAGTGGGTCAAAAAAATTACGGCGTGGGGTTTGGGGCCCGTAAGGGCCCCGAAAAATTTTTGGATTCTAGATGCTCTGTGGTGCGATCTGAGGCAATTTCTGACCACTTTAACCAATGTTTTTTGAGGAAAAGATGGTGTTGTACTCATTGCCTGCCTTTATTGCGATGTCACATAAAAAAATAAAAAAATTGGTTTCGTTTGGGGGGGGGGGGAATGGCCCCCTTTGGCCCCCCCCCCTGGATCCGCCCTTGCTCCCTTACGATTTGGGAGCATCCGTTACGGAAAAACCCTTGTTGATACCTTTAAAACACTTTTTTCCCCCTCCCCGTAGGTTCCGCATGAGGGCGCGCGTTATGTACTGTAAGGACGTATGCGATATGCGCTGTGAGTGGATTTACTATAATGGGCACAGACAGAGCGCAACCGAGCCAGACTTGGCAAAGTCTACGCACAGGACGGCTCAGTCAAAGGCCAAGTTTGACCAATGGTTAACTAACGTTTGCCCGAACTCTGTCTAGTCGACGGTGGTTGACTACGCTAGTCGACTATTTGGAACCAGCCTACTGGGGTTGGTTGCTTCGCTGGTAACCAATAGCCGCGCGCATTCATAACGCTAGCAGAGAGCCAGGATCCAGAAGTTTTGCGATGACATTTTGACCAGCGTTTGACTAGAGACGTTCACACGTTGCTATCAGTGCGCAGGCGTAAGGTACGTCACAAATCAACCACTAGTCGACTAATGGTCCTTGCCCGAACTTGGCCAAAGTGTCTTCGCGCGCAACCTCGTGCCCCGTGGCAGCCTCGACTCCAGGCGCGCGTGCTCGTCATTCCCCAACCTCGTGCCCCGTGGGTACGATCTTGCAGCGCCATGTTGTTTCCCTTGCGCGATCGTTACCCCTGGAATTGTGTAATTTAAATATACCAAAATACGGTACATTATAATTAGGGTTGCAGTTTATCCGTTTTACGTGCCGGCGCCATCTGTAAAATGTTAAAAGTTGTGATTTTGAAGAATCAATCCTTTCAAACACAACGTTTGGACGTTGTGTTAATTAGCAAAGATTCGTGTTAAATGTACGTACCCCTTTCGTGCCTTTACAACCACAGATACAGGGGTTTTTTTAGCGAAAAACGCGGCTGACATAATCCATATCGTACAGGCTTCGCGACTTTTGAATCGTAATTTTTTTTTTCGTACGTGACGTTACGAGCAAAGCTAACGGCACGCGAGCGCGAGCGCATTATGGGCGCGCACGGCGTGCAATCTTCGAAATGCCCGCGCAGTACGCTGTGAACAGCCATTCAGTGTCATTTACGTCATCATCACAGCCAGGGGTCTGTTAGGCCGTGTCCGAAACGGGCTTCCAGAGCTACGGCTACGTCTATTGTCAGCCCGTCCCCGCGTATTTTCAATTGGCATGGACCTAGACCTAGCTCTAGACAATTGATTCGGACGCAGCCTAATAAGGAACGAGCACGCGCCCCTGGAGTCGAGGCTGCTTCGCGCGTCAATGTCAAGCATTGCGCGTAGATGGCCGCGTACATCCCGCACGCGGACGGCACGCACGGTAGAAGCGTTGACCCGCGCCGTAAAAAAAAAATCAAGAAAAAAAAAAATTCACCGTTTTCAACCAACATGCAACTAAAACCAGCCTCGACTCCATGGGCGCATGCGCGTTCCTTCACTAACCCCTGGCCGTGATGTAAACGTAAACATGGGAACGAGGTTGAACTAAAACCACTTTTATCAGCTGATGTTTATGGAGGGTTCGGGCATAGGTTCGGGGGGTTGCGGTTTTTACAACAGCGCCCTCAGTTGAGCTTAAGTACGTGCACTTATGTACATAAAATTCTATCCCACAACGGAGAGCAGAATCGTACAAAGTGATGCGCAGTGTTTCAAACCTGACATAATTCCCCGACGAACTTTTTGGAAACCGCCTTCTGCATTTCGACCCAATTTGTGTGAATACGCGACTGAGAAATAATGGCATCAAATAAGACCTCCAACAACAACCTCAATGGATCGAAAACTTACGCTGGAAATACGGCCTCGCCTATCGGCAAAGCGTGCCGACGGTCGTGGCTGCTGTGGGCGATACTGATAAACGGACTAGTGTTATATACGCTCTTGTATTGTGGCACCAGCAATGAGCAGGTGAGTTCATGACTGTCTTTTTTTGTTATCTTGTATCGTGTGCCAATTCAAAGCTTTTATGGCTAATTTTCTTTTTACTCATTACAAACCTCGATTCATAGCCCAGTAAAAAAAAAAAAAATCGAAAACAAAAAAGGCTTTCAGTCTGTTAATGATTCCTTAGATTTCGTAATTCATTAGAAGCTATAAAACTCAACAACATTTGCCAAATTTGACATCAGAATTAGAGGATAAAGTTGCCGATTCATTTGGATCGGAAACCAGGACCTCAAAATAACGAACAATTTTTCTGACAAATTAGGGCCGAGTTCTCCATGCCCGAACCACGGTTCCTTCCTCCATGCCCGAACCTACAGCGACGGGCGACGAAAACATCAACCATTTTATGATCGATCGATAAGCATTGTAAACTAATGTCTTTAAGGGTGTAGATTAACGATGAAAACAACTTCAACTGATTCTTTTTTATCACAGAATATTATACTCACACCCTAACAAGTTCCCGTTAGAGCTATCGTCATTAAGTTGTAACAGTTACGATTTAGTCCTGTTTAAACTTTAGCAGTCAGTCGCATTCGGATTTTTTTTAATTCCTCTTTCTTGTTTACATTATAGGCCTAAGCATCTATTTGTCTTACCCCTGTTCTGTCCCTATCTATATCTATCTCGTTATCAGTGTTCAATGGCTTCAACACAGTTTTTGTTATGCGCCTATATCAACTGTTCCCCCCCCCCCCCCTACCGGCCGCAGGTCCGATGTCGGGGTTTGGTCACGTTTTCATGCCCCAGGGTGGGGATTCAGTTTGGTCACCCCGAAACATTACCATTGGCGTGCTACATGGAAAGGCAATCATTAGTGCCCCCCACGCGTGTCGGAGATTGCCACTTACATTTTGCCCAAGAGGTGGGGAGTTTTGTCTTTTTCAAAAAGTGACAATCCCCACGTCTTGGGTCGGGCAGCCGACCACGCATTACAGGTAATGTTGTTGGCAACTAACAGGGCTCATGGAATGTTACTGTTTTTTTTAATGCAATCCATGAAAACGCACCTTTTCCTTATCTTCATTTTCACCAAGGGGTATTTTGGTGCTTTTTTGGTTTTAGTGCTTATACGCAAATCTCTATATTCGTGAGCAAAAGTGTGATGTCATATCAGGCAGAAACAATGTTACAGCTATTTCAGCACAAGTTGCCAGAATTTTCTTTTCTTGGGCTATTCGTAAGTTGTGTCGGTACATGACATTAAGCCATTCTGAGCAAACCTTTGTCACAAATGTTTTCAATAAACATTCTGGGTTCATGATTTGAACCGAAAACCCCTAAACTGAACAGTGCCCTCCTGAAAATGACATCAGAGCAAACAGTGCAGTCAGTTGTCCGGAAAGGCACGGACAATTTTTTAAATATAAAAAGTGCATGCACCTTTCAATTGAAGTATTAAACCAAAAGGGGATGTCAGATAGGTTTCATACATTCAAGAGGAGTAGAAAGTTGCACAATTTGTGTTTCTAAGAAAAAAAATCATGGCATAGACCCTTTGAATAATTTGTAAGTACAGAAAACGCATGCCATTGAAATTTGCAAGCATTTTGCTCACCTTTGTCGCTTTGAAAACCAGTTGCGAAGTTTGTCGTTATTATAGAAATATCACTGTTTCATACATTTTCACTTCCTTTGTACGGTACTCACCATCAATGTGGATTCGTGAAATAGACCTTTCTCAGGGTACGCCATCTTGAAAATCCAGCTGGCCTCATAACTTAAATATCTACTAAACAGGTGCAATTTCAGCTCAGAAAACCGCCGCGGATGGAAAAGTGAAAAATAGAAAGTCTTGACGTGTTTTTGACGGCGGTGCTATTTATTGGCTTATTAAACTAACACGAAAACTTTAGTTTGGCCACTGGTTTTGGGCTTTTTAGTCATAAGATCCTTCTTCAAAACACAACGAGACGTGACCCACCGAGAATGTTGATTGATGTTTCGATGAATTTGA